CAACCCCATAATGTAATGAAGTCTAGTCACAAACACTAATCCAAATATATTGTATTTGTATTCGTCCAAGCGTAAAACAAGCCAGTGCCACCACTGTTGCTATTTGTACTACTTCTGCGGACTCCCAACTACAAGCATTCTTGCTTATATTGCCTCTCTATGGTGATGTCTACATATAACCCAGATTAGTTAAAGCCATCCAAAAAAATGTCACATGGATTTTTTCATGCCCATGGTTTGCTTCACCTCTGACTGGAAAGCCAGCAATTTTCTCATCTACTACTTTTAAGACAGTGTTGGGAAAGATCAGTGAAATGAGAGTGGATTATGTTTTCCTTTCTCATTAACGTATAAATCTTCATAAACTTCATAAAAGGGAGTAGAAGGGAAACACCACCCAGTTTCTCCACAGGCCTGTTGGTGTACATCTGGAAAAGATCTGTTGAGTTGAGTGGGACCAACCCCACCTAACTCATCCATCATTCTGTGTCTTATACTTCACTTCTCTGGGTTCCTGTCTCCATCATGCGAGGATATTTTGTGACTTGAGCATGTGCATTTTTACATAAGAAGGAGATTCAAAGATAATTCTGGGGATTAATAAAAGCTATCAACCTCAACTCATCTCAAAAAGTACAATTAAGTGAGCTGCCATTTCAAAGCTAGAGGCAAGTTTAGGTAGTCTGTGGATAACTCCGTGTACAATACTTTTTAACATAATGTAAAACCGCAGTTTCATTCAATTTGATAGTGAGATCCTTGCATGCAGAGCCTTTCTACAGCTTACCCATACAGCAGTTTCTTTTGGGAAAAATGATTTGTCAGAAAATAAAGCATCAGTAAACAGTTGCTCTGTTTTAGACTACCATGAAAATAAGATTTGCAAGCTCTTTTGAGCTGCAAAATCTTTTTGCAGCTTAAAGCTATTATCCAGTATTTTTCATGTGTATCATATTCATAACAGTACAGAATTACTTTATCTATTCAGTAAGATTAAATAAAAAATGTAGTATTCCTAGCAAAGCAGACAAGCAACTCAACAATAGCTGCAACAACAGTTACAACAAAATAGACAAACTTTTTAAAAAATGTGTGAATATTACAAGATTTAACAAAGAGCAATTAAAACAACCCAAATAAAAGAAAGGGCGTCAGACTATATACTCGTCAAGTCAACAGTCAGCATAAACAGGAGCAGCAATATCAACCATAACATTCACAACCAGATGTACCCACAACTTGAATGTTTGAAATTTGTTTAAATACGTTTAGTGAGACCAGCTGTTTAGGATTTCGGATCAAATTCCAGTTGCATGCAGCAGCAACACTTTTTCCCCTATCTCAGTATGGGCTCTCGATTATGCTAAAAGTAAACAAATCTTAGGAGGTGAAACAATAACTCTCAATACTTATTTGGAGTATATAGATCTGTATATATAATGTGAAAAGGTCCAGAACGTCTTATGCCTGTGTTTGTCTACCAGCACACTAAGGAGACAACTGATATTGCGAATACAATGTACTGTGGGTAGATAGTTTTACGGCTTGTGAGAAACAAGAAATTTATATAAGCTACAATATCATAAGAGGATAGACTTTTACAGTACAAGGATTGTGTCAGAGCTGCACAGTTTCACCAGCAATCAAATGCTATTAGGAAAAAACATCAAAGCCTGACAAACGAGACAGCTGTTTCCCTTTTTTAAAGGAAGTCCATTTAATGAGCTGGCCACTGTCTATCACGTGCAAGTATTAGAACATTAAATTGGATAATGTAACAGTTCCAAGCCACAATCTGAGAAACATCAACACTAATACATTATAATTAATGTTGATCTTTCGTGTGAGGTTGCTGATGCAAATTATTTCAGTTAGTATGGGTGAGACTGTTTTAAGCACCATTAACTGTGCCAATGAAAACGGCAGTCTCTGGTAATATCAAGAAAGAAAGAGCAAAAAGAAATGTTGACATACAATTAAACTGATTTCTATAAACTTACATTGGGGATTGAATGGCTAGAATAGGTCACAAAGCAGACTGAAGCTTGGAGACTAGCCTACCTATGATTTCTACGTTCCAATCTATTCAAATCTGTCTGGAACTTAGAGGGGACTCACTGAGGGCTTTGGGTTCATTTTTAAACTTCTAAAAAAAGGGTCATCTTGACTGCTGACCTTGACTGGACATGTTTCCCAAAAAAGGAAATGAGTGCAACCTTCATTGCACTTCGGACATAAGATGGACTTGTGCAGCCCAACCACAAATGACCTTAATCTATTTATAGGAAAACAAAGTTACAGTACAGTGATTAGGGAGAAAAAGGAACTCAAAAGATGGAAAGACAGTTGGACGCCAAGGATACATGCCAACTGTAAAGATCAACTAGACATCTTGCCATTCTTCTGCTTCAGAACTAAAAGTTATTTTCAGTTATTTTGCGAATCCATAAACATTGACCTTTACTCTTACATTTTAGAATTAAAGTTTAAGCATTTAACAAAGAAAAACTTTGATGGTTTGTGGTAATATTTAGGGAAAAAATAGTCTAAGTAGCTCCCTGCAAGCACTGTTTCCTTAAAAGGACAATACACACAAATAATCAAAGACACCAATACTTAAGCTTATTTTTAGATAACAAATTAATCTAATCTGTTCTGTGAATCCTTTGCGGTGAATTAAACATAACCTGTAACAAAACCTAACATATAATCTCTCCAATAAGTTTTGAGTTGGATCTACCCTGTAAAGCTCTAAACGGAGGCAATCTGGAGGATTCTAACCAGATGCCAAATTATTTCAACTGACTTCTTTTGATGGTAAGGGGTACAGGCTCTACTCTGAGTTTCCTCGAAATGCCTGAGTTCCTTTCCCTATATCTAATGTGAGCCCAGCAACTCTCCAACGGAATAAATGTTTTCCTTTGGTCACAATCCAGATCCTGTGACCCTCGGTGATAAGAGGAACAAAGATGGACCAGTTAATTGAAAGTTTGTTTAAACACAATAAACCAGAACAGCGTTTTCATAACTGCCTAAACTCCAATCCATCTCCCAGAAATCAACATTACTACTACTACTAAAATTACTCTGTCTACATTCTACCTTTCTATTTTCACTACCATGATCCCCTCAGCAATTCTACCATGGTAAACATGTGGTCCACTGCTATCTTGGAGAAAACCACACTGCATCCCCTGAATCTGAGTTTCAACAGCTGGTCAGAATCTTTTCAACACCCACACCCAGGAGTAAACTCCCAGAGGAGGCCGAGTAGTGAGATACCATGTATTTGGAACCCAGTCACCTTTCTTAAAGATGAGAACCACCATCCCAATCTGAAACTCCACAGGCACTATCCCTGACCTCCGTGCAACACTGAAGACCCAGCTTCCATTCCAACTAAACCAATCATGTCCAGAGCCTTCAGTATGCCATGGCAAAGGTTATCCACCCCCCTAGTGATGTCGTACTTTTACTACTATATATACTTCTGCCAAGGCAATGCATGTTTTTCATTCAATTTCATTTCAGCAGATTAGACATATAATCTGAAAGGTTTGAATGTCATTCACCACATTACAAGGAAGTAGCAACCTGATAAAGAAACACATAAATATATCAATTAAGCAGCTTTATTGGAATTGTGGGTGATTTAATGAACACCTAAAATTTGGTCGCTTTTACAAAAGATGGAACTTCAGAGCAACAACACATATGCATACACCACAGAGATTAATGATTTGGCTTGGATTTACAATTTTTTAAAATAATAATTCTTTAATTTTCCACCCCATTATCCTTGACCACTATTGGTTGAACATGCTCCATTTCAGGCAAACATTTCCACACGAAGTACTACCCCTGGAAGTTTTTCGCAAAAATGTTCAGACAGGATATTACAGAACCGTGCAAAGCCTTCACCTCCTGACTGGAAAGTGGTCATCAAAGTGGAAATGGACAATAACCGTACAGACAGCAATAACTCCAGACTTAGTAGCTGGCAACAAACCTGCTCTAATAATAACCAGGTGGTGATATCATGAAAACGTGTTTTTTTTTCATTTCCTTTAAAAGCATATCAACAGAAATTTAGACTCCATCGCCTTTTTCTGTCCAACTGTACAGTTCAGAGCAGCATAACTATCAGGAACTGTTGATTACTGAATCCTTAAGATTTTGTTTTCATTTTTGGCAAACGACAGAAAAAGAAATATTAAGTCTTATGTTGACACTGCTCAAGCATGTCTGACCTGTAACTTCCCTCAAGTCTTACAATATGTTTAGCATAAGCATGGATTAAATTACCTAATATTCTTCTTCAAAGATTTATAGTCTTTTAATAGAGCCATTTCTCTCCTGCTTGTTGTTTGTGGAAAACATTGGATGATTAATGCAAGCATTATGTCAGTGTAAACATGAGAGACAGCAATCACAAATTAGAAAACCAAAAGGAAACTTAGAATACCCGTGTACAGATCCATGAAACGCAATGCTCTCGGGTCTCAGCCCATCAACTACTACAGTCTTCCGGGAATGATGCATTAAAGTATCTAATAGTGCAATGGTTGATAGAAGAGCTTCTGTAAGTCTTATGTTTCAAGTCCTGCTCATCTAAAAACGTCTAAAAAACACACACTCCATCCTGAGCTGCACGGTCTACCTGCGATGGCAGCTATTTATGGATGGAGCAGCAGTGTTTGGCCGGGAATAACTCAAAAGCACCATTAGCTCTGAGCAGATCTTATTCCAGAGCCCCAAAGCGTTTTTTTACCTTTATATTTGTCTACGATTTTTGAATAGTGAGGTTACATTTCTCTGTGGGGTCAATGACAAGGTTATGACCTCACAGTAAGGACAGAAGCTCTTATACTTCTCACGTGTGTTAATGTGTGTGGTTGTTGTGGTGCTGTCTGGGTGTATCATTAGCTGGCAAAAAAACAAAAGAAACGAGGCAAGTCTGTCTGAATGATTTCATACTGCTGCAGGTAATGTTTATGGAACTTGTACGACAAATATGTGCAGATGCTGTCACATTAAACGTTACCATTCTGCTCATCGAGCTCATTGCCGATGTCCTGGCCCATTATCTTCTGTCGGCTGATGACGGCTGCCAGTGCATCCAAGCCTGCATCCTGGGCTGAAAGGCAGGGAGAAAGAAAATAAATTATCACAATCTTGGGACATTAGACATAGACCAAAATCAAAAGGTTTTACAAAAACAGAAAAAAGTAATAAAATATACAGCTATAAAATTAGAAACATGAGCATGATGGAGAGGAAATCATTCCAGAAGGAAAAAAAAGTGTCTGAATGTTTCTAAGTTTAGCATTTTCCCTCCCACGGGAATTTTATTTTCTTGTTATCCAAAGACCACACTTTTCTACCTACACAATATTTTATTACATTTCTGCATTTTTAAAATGTATGTGAGACTTCCTTTGTTGTGCCAAGTCAAACAAATTAAAAAACGGAAAATTATAAAACATAATTTTTAAATAAAAAAAAGTTGCTGCAACAACGAGGAACACTACTGATACATGTGCAAAGTAGTTTGTAGTAGTAGGTTCACTCGTTAACCTAAAAAATGTCCCTAAACTTTTTAGACCAGACGTAAGTTATGATGCCGTCTGATAATTGATCAACATTAATCGAGCCATCAAAAAGTGGTGATGAAACATTAATGTTTCATCGTGGTGTGGGATAAAATTGAATCCTCAACTACAACAGTTCCAGAATAGGTTCTGTGTTCAGTTTGAGTTGCCATGTGGTAGTCTTTCTGCGGTTGTGTCACTGTCCTGTTCTCCCAGCTACCAACAGCTTGAGGCGAACGGAAACTCTCCTTAAGCATGATTGTGGTGGAAATCTAGTACTCTTAGAAGGGTTTTTTAGATCCCCAATGTCACCTACACCTCCGTGTAGCATGGAGACAGAAAACTAACTTAAGATCCTATCTAATCTCTTGGTCATTTTGCTAGGCTATTTTTGAATAAATTGTTCATGTAATATTTGTTGCATTTAATTACCCTCAATGATTCTTTGTTGCTGCTGTTTAATTTCCCCAAAGTTCATGCCCTTGGTCTCCTCGGATTCATTGATCAGCCAAGGATTTGTCGAAGTGTTTCCACTTGCTGCTGCCCCTCCAGCCATTAAGGTGGACCTGTGATTAATAATCATAACAGATAAGTATTTCTTTTTTTTAAAAGTTTATTTAGGAAATAAATGTAACTTTTGTTACCACAGACAAAATCTTAGTCATGCACAATAACTGAAAGACACAATGTATGAATGCCTGCATTTATCTTTGATCAGGGAAGACTAGAACAGAAAAGAAATGGAAAAATACGTTATATCCCTGTGGGAGAAATCAAAATTGTCAAGTAGCCTAAGATTTAGTTACAATAATTTAATATTAGAACAAAAACAAATAAATATAATAAAAGAATAAAGATAATAATCATAATCTAAGATTAACTCTAATAAGGTGCTGTGAAAAAGCCTTTTGGCCGTTGGGAAAAAGGACCCCCTGAACTTTTTACGTCTGCAACACAGTGAGATGAGCCTCTCACGACAATTGCTTCTCTGTCCATCCAGAGGGAATGTTTATTGTTCCCCAATAGGATACCTTCCTCCTCATCCACTGCTTAACCATAGTACTGAGAGGGTCTATCCCCCTACATTTTCACAGTTTTTGTCTGTAGAGCCACTCCCCCAGCAAACAGCATAGAACCATGTACTCTAAATAACTGTGATAAAACATGTACAGCATGTTACTGCCATCTCAGGAAAAACACAGCTTCTAAGTCATAGCACAAAAGTTTTAAACTATACAAATAGTAGTTCAGTGACATAATTAGCTTTGCTATGTACATACATGTACATCTGAAAATCTTAATGTTCTGCTACATGCCTGTTCTAATATTTATGACATCAAAACCATCAAACAAAAAAAATATATATATATACCCTCTTTTGTCTGCTTTTTAAATCATTAGAATGATAATCTGTCACAGGGTTGTGACAAAGTGTGACAGTAGACACCATTCTGTAAAATGAAGTACTAACTTCTGTAATGTTCTGTGAAAAGTATTCTAATAGTTTAAAGCTGGGTTATAGACTCAGCAGAGCTTTCTTTCTTTGACAAGTTCAGGGTTTGATTGCATATGCTGATTAAAAGATGCATACTGGTGGGGCATTGTACTCTGCATGACTGGAAATAGCTTTGGAGAATATAAAGTCATTTATCTTAATTTAGCAACTTAACTTAGTCATTTATCCATACAATAATATGTCCAGTAATTACACATTCACTTGACATTTATCAGCATTCTTTACTACAAGGGAAAAATATATTAGACTGTAAGAACATATTTATTTGACTTTTGAATTGGTACAACACAACATTTGTTAGGATATCTACTCTATTACCATTTACAAAGCCTCTCAAAGTGAGTTAATGTGAGACTACTCACAATGCAAGCAGACTGAGGCTGACAACAGCAGAGCAATGGAAGACACAAGACTTTAATTCTAATGTTTATAACATGTCTGATTATGATGAGACTATGTCCCAAACCTGCACTTCCTCCATGCTTGCGCCCACTGTGTGAAGACCCAATTAAGAAGTAAGTGGGAACCACCGAAATCAGTCAGGCACATCTCTTGGCACCCACTAAGCACTAGACTGTCAGCACTGGAGCCCGAGCATCCAAGTCCTGACTGAGTGACTTAGACAGGCCAGATTTAACTAATTACAACAATTCCATATGCAATCACATATAAAGGTAGAAGGTGCAAGAAGATGAACTTAGCCTTCAAAAACAGGGACCATGCCCTTCTATTCTTTAGACTGCAAGGAATATGCTTAGAATGAACTGTTTTAGAGATAAACTAAAGTCCTTTTAGAAACCTTAATGCCATTCTTTATACCCTAAGTCCTGACCAAAAAAAAAAAAGAATGTAGTGGCTTAGATCATCGAAGCATGGCCAATCCATTCCCTCCCATCAAGACCACACAGAGGGAACAGGTCTGACACCTACCCTCAAATCCAAATTACCTACCACATATCACTGTTAAATGCAGGTCTCACTGAGCAACCTAAAAAAACACGCAAACACACAATTTCTGTTTGGCGACCTAATTTATTAGCAAATGTCGCCGAAGATTATTTTCATTTTAACAAATTCTTTCATGTGTGGTCTGTAAAAAATAGATTAAATCCTGTACAAAGCACCACTAAGTAGATCAATCCCTAAACCAAAAGATTGTGAAGGATAAAAAAAAACTTTTTTTTAATGTCAAGGCATCAATGCCAGTGTTTTCTTGTTTTGTTTTTTTTAAATATGACTGATCCAATTAAACTGATTCCCACACTAGGCTGTTTCTTAAAATGATGACAATGACATCACTTCAGATGATCAAGAAATACTTTGATCGATATAATTTCTGCTGCCTACTCACCTTCACTAATTTCAGAGTATATTAGTTTATTAAAAAACTCATTTCTTTATTCCTGGGACATGTAGACAAACGTGTGTGTCTGTCTTGGAGGTTGCCAAATGTGTGATCAACAGTGCATAGCAAGTGAATCTAATGAAAAAGAATTAGCCAGGAAGTTGTCAAAATGTCAGATATACAGACTTCCTTCCATAGCACACGGGTCATATCAGACACACAAAGACTTCCACAGAAAGTTAGTGACCGGTAAGGTATCATCAAAGCGAAGACCATAGTCTATGACCCGTGAGGTCAACAACATAGACAAGAGAAAAGGGATTCATTATTTTTAATTAGTGGTCATACAGTTGGATATGATGATGATAATATTAATAATAATAATAAGTAAAGATCAAAGACTTTAGGGATAAAACTGCAAAATGAAGAAAATACCACAATGATCCTTTTAATGTTTACCTAAGGCTGATCATTCTAAACTAGTCCACATACTGACTTAAATTGTGTTATCCCTCTTGTAAACAATAATTAATGAGAATCAAAACTATTAAAGTTCTCAACAATTGACTATATCTAGGATGAACTGAATTCTCTAGGTGTTAATACCTCATGGGTTCAGGCTCCACGATATCTCCTTTGAAAGTGCCGTTGAGGTGCTTCTCTCTGGTCAGCAGGTCATCAATCATATTCTGTCTCCTGTCAGCTTCTGACTGCATTCTTGCAAGACCATATTAAGGTCCACACACTCGATTCATAACCCTCAATAATAGAGGAAAAAATATTCATTCAAAATATTTATTTTGGCTAACAAACCTGAGTACAGATTATAATTGTAACAATGTATGGTGCTTTGAAAAACTTGAAACTCTAACGCCCTCTACAGGTACACAGCTATTAACCACACTCGTGGTCAGTTTAAAATCTCAGTCTTATGACCTAAGCTCCACTCATTCTGAGAGAAAAGGATACATCCGTCGAGAAGAAGAGGCTCGCAGCAACCCCTCCTTGAGCTGGGCAATATTCTGTTTCAACTTCTGGAGTGATGCCCTTAGTGTCATGTTTATCTGGGAATAATAGAAATAAATAGAGCACATGCATGACTGTGGCCTCAGCAGCCCCTCTTTACGTGTTAACTGAGTTTTATACATTACCTTTGCAGGGTTTCCCCCAGTTCTCTGTTGCTTGTTTCTTTCATGTAGGTTTTCTGCTATTTCTTGCGACAGCCGACAAGTGGCATCATAATTCTGTAACCTTAAAGTAAATGACAGTGATAAAAATGTTAATTAATCTGCCTTATAGATACTATCACACAACATTTAGTACAGTAGCAACAGATCATTTTTGAAAGAAAATGCTGTAAATATATTTAGTATATATAAATAGATTTAGTTATGAGTACTCAAATCTTGTTTGAATATCAAACGCTGGTGTAACATATAAAAATGTATCGACACAAATACGATAAACCAAATGGTTCTTCCTAACCAAGTGGAATTCATCAATTAATCCAACGTTTGATTAAAAAAAAAAAAAGATTATCCGAGAAATAAGCACAAACCTTGTCAAATACTATTTATTAGTGCACAGCTAAGTGACCTTCTTTAAAAGCGTGTTATTGTGTTTCGCTATTTTGAATGAGGAACTAGCTACCAGCTAACTGGCATCAGCTTAAAATTAGCCATAGAAACTATATGTTTTTAAAGTTATTTAAACATCTGATTATTCCAGTACTCAGAAATATCACCTACCATGGATCTTGAGACATTATGATAAAAGCCAGCAACCAAAATAGCACAGAGTTTGAACGGTTCTGCACTAATTTTTCTTCTTCTTCTTCTTCTCTTTTTTTTATTGCGGTTGGCAAACAACTTTTCGGTGCATTACCGCCACCTTCCAGATTGGAGTATGGATCCAACAATCTTTTAAATCCTTCCTAATACACCCGTTCTTCTTAAAAAACTGAAAATATTTGCAAAAACCACATCCCCAGATGACCTTTGAAACAAATCCCCAATCTCCAATTTTATTTTATTCCTACCTAATTCCCTACGTAATCTCTCTCTCTCTTGATTATACTTATTACATTCCAAAAAAACATGCTGGACTGTTTCCAGCTTCCCACAACCACAACACCTCGTGCTATGTTTATTAATTATTTTAAGATTGCTGTTTAACCCTGTGTGTCCAAATCTTATTCTAGTTATAATATCTTCTTCTTTTTTAATTCTACTACATTTCCTTACTTCTCCAACCTTTTTCTGAATACTATAATGATATCTACCATTCTTTCCTTTATCCCACTGTTCCTGCCATTTCTTTTTCACATACAATTTAATAATATTCTTTACCTCATTTTTACTTATTTTAATATTTAAATCAACAATATCCTTTTTTACTGCATTCTTCGCAAAACCGTCAGCCAACTCATTTCCAATCACGCCAATGTGAGCAGGAATCCACACCAATTTAACCTTAGAACCCCCATTTCTACTCCTAAAAATTGAGTGCAAAACATCCACTACTATGTCTTGCCTTGATTCTGACTTACGTTCTAAAATACTTATTAATGCACTACTGGAATCTGAACATATTAATACCTCCCTCTCTCTTGTTTCCTCAATCCACTCTAAAGCCATTAAGATTGCCATTAATTCCCCTGTATACACTGCCACTTTATCTGTTATTCTTTTATTCCTCATAATATTTAAATCTGGAATTACAAATGCTATACCTACTTTATCATTTAATGTTTTAGAAGCATCTGTATATATTTGTATATATTCTGAATATTCTTTTTTTATATAATTTTCCACCTCTTTTTTTTTCTAACTGTCTCCCTTTTTTTAATAAGTTTAAATCAACTTCAGCCTGTCCAAAGATCCATGATGGAATAGCCGGAATAACAATCACAGGACTGATTATAAGGTTATCTATTCCTACATCTTTTACTTTATTTATAATTGTCCATCCAAAACTATTAATTTTTTTCTTTTCTTTTTCTTGACAAGGTTGCAGTGTAGTATATGGTGGATGACTTTCAGTATGTCCTCTAATATTTACCCAGTAATTTATGGCTAGTTGTTCTCTCCTGAGCTCCAGTGGCATCTCACCCATCTCCACTTGTAAAGCTGAAACTGGGGTAGTTTTCATCGCTCCACAACAAAGTCTTAGAGCCTGATATTGTATTCTTCTGCACTAATTACGAGCAAACTGCAGTTTGGTTTGGATGTGACGTCACTACGGAATAAGGCTTAGACCAGTCTTGTTTTGTTTGGTTTGCATTACCACCTCCTACTGGTGTAGTGTGACTCAAAATGTCCATTTCATCCCATAAATTATTCTAATCATTACCAATTATCATATTCTGTTACTCAAAATGTTCATCCTTAAAAACCTAACAGAAATTTGATTTTTTTTTTTCTGAATCTCCTTGTAGTATATTTATTTAAATTTATTTTAAATGTATCTTTTTTCCTAAATTCCTCCAACATAAACCTTTTTTTCTTTTTCATATCTCCAACATACTAAAATATAATGTTCTGTTGTTTCAAATTCTCCACAATATTGACATTTTCCTGTATCAGTTATTATAAATAATCAATAATTGAGTCCATTGTGACCAAATCTAAATCTTGTTGTTAATTGATCTTCTCTTTTACTTCTTCTTCCTGTTTTCATCTCTCCAACTCTATTTTGAATCTTATAATACCATCTTTTATTCCCCCTTCATTCCATTCTTTCTGCCACTTTACCATCAGTTCTTCTTTTATTATGATTCTTGCCTCTGATTTGCTTGTAGTTACAATAAAAATGTATTCCTTCTGTTGTGGTTTTTTGTTGGTTTTCTGTCCATTATTTGACATCCCGCAGCTAAAATGTGCCAGCACCCATAAAAATCTAACCCTAACCTCTAATCCCATCATTTGGATTCTGAACAATACTGAATGAATGTGCTGTAGGCTCATAAGTGCTGAACTAGAGTCCTAAGATATAACTGTCCTTATTGGTTTTATCTATTCCATTCATTGAACTGCTAATAAAATTGCCAAAATTTCCCCAGTCCTGACAGTTCATTAGTGATTTGTTTTCATTGTGCCATGTAAAATTATGGCATTATGAATGCAGAATTTTGTATGCATCTGAACATGTGTATATCTGAACATGATTATAGTAGTTGTTTATATATTGCTGTACTTTATATTAATTACATAATCATAATCCTTTCTCCTTTTTTCTTCCCAAGAGCATTAAAGCTACTTTAGCATCTGGTCAAATCTATGGTTGTGTGGCTGATAACTGAACTATTAGACTAATTGTTGGATTGCTTAAGTTCTTATGAAGCCAAAACTTCGTATTTCCTTTGTTTTCTCCTTTTCCAACGTGGCTTTAATGTTTTAATTGCATTTCTCCCATCTCTACTTTGTGCTGCTATTGGTGTGGTTTCAATTGCTCTTAGATATATTCATAATGTTTGATGCTGAATGCTAATTTTTCTAGATGTGTTTTTGCTAACCTATAAACTATGCTTAATCCTATATAAATTATCTAATGCCCCTTCTCTCTGATCCCCTGTCATTTCCTACCAAACACTTCATTATTTCAAAAGCTCTCTTACTTCTATCAATATACCAATATCCATTTATTGATATATCAATATAACTTTTCATCAAACCAAATTCCTTCAAACTTTATACTTCCGACACTTTATAATTCTTGATTCTATAATTTCAATTGAAATCTTTCTGCAATTCTTGTTCGGGTCGAACACCACTTTTGTTTTGGCAACTGAACATTTTAATCCGCACTGCATCCATCAATCAGTCCATAACCAATTGTTCCCGCTTATTCCCTAATAGGGTCGGCGGGGGGGTCGGTACAGCCTGGACGGTCCACCAGTCCGTAGCAGGGTCACACAGACATAGCAAGGCACAGAGACACACAACCACACAAACTAACACTCTCTCTTAAGGTTAATTTGGAATGTCCACTCAACTTAACATGCAGGTTTTTGGACGGTGGGAGGAAGTTGGAAAACTCTGAGAGAACCCACAGACACAGGGAGAACATGCAAACTCAACACAGAAAAGTTCTGGTTCCCCCGGGGTTTTGAACCCAGAACCTTCTTGCCGTGAGGCGATGGTGCGATGGTGCTAACCAGCAAACCACTTTATCGCCTAACAATGTTTCGTTTTGATTTGTCAAAATCCTCATCCAATTAATTACCAGTGATCACTGCAGGAATTATTTTGTTTTTAACAATAACCTTCATTTCTTCCACAAATTTTTGCTAATTCTTTCAACATGTAATGCTTTTTTCTGCTGTTTTGAAAATCAGAATTAAATTTCAATCTCTCAACATTTTCACCATTTCTAAATTTCTGATCTTTGTTCTTATTTTTGTAGACAACGTGATTGAGTTTATGTTGATTTGTTCCCCCTTGCTCCTATATTTCAATTGTTATTTGAAATTCCTCAATCTCTATTTTACGTCTGATCACTCTCTCTTCCTCAGAAAGGCCTCCATCTAATTCTCGTTTATTTTTCTGGCTGTCAAACACTTTTCACTGGTGTTGATCCATCAAAATCCCCATCCTCCTCATGACTCCCTGCGTTTGAATCCATTCTGAGCCATTCATACAGGAGTTTATGCCAAAACCATCAATAACAAAGTGAAAAACTATTAATCCATATGAAGAAAACAACTCTTAGAGTGAATTTTGTTGTTCAAAAAGGCTGCCAACTGGAAAACGGCAATCCATGACACATCAAGAAAACCTCATAAATAAAAAATCCAACAGTCGGCTTAGACCATTGCACTCCAGGGTTTCATTTTAGTGTAAAAAAAATAGTTTTCTATGATAAATTTATATGTTGGCAAAGTCCAATTACAATACTTAAAAATAGAGCAATACAGCTGTCAAACAAAAGTTAGAGATTTTAAATAGATTTTCCTTAACAATGTCAATATTATTCAATAAATCATTTTAAAAACAAATCGCAATGTTTATTTTTAGTTTTCAACAAAACAGCAAAGAAGTATATAGAAGTTACTCAATCAAAACATCAATGGAAAAAAAAATCTTTGATTGAACAAAATGTAAAAAAAAAAAGATATAAATACATACTAGCTATAGCATGGCATGATGTTTTTTTGTTTTTTTAAAGTTGTATGAACTCTTGAAGTGGAAATAGTAATACTCATCCAAAATTCAACAATGATTTTTGCTTTTAGAAGCATAAATTCACCAAAGATGAAATTATTTTATATCAAAATAACGATATGATCATTTCATAACTTAAAAAACACCAGGGAAAAAAGTCCCTACAGAACTGCAATTCAGTGAATGATGCAAAGATTCCTTGCATTCCTTGCAACAGTCATCATAACCTTAAAATAAGAAAAACAAAGCGAAGTGTTAGTATTCACAACCTGCTGCTTGAGGATTGTGTCTCCTTCAAAAATAGGTGATATGTCAATGATCTGAGGTAAACAATACTATTTTAATTATACATTTCTGTATAAACCTCTGGGTCTGTGGGTAATTCCTTGATGTTAGCAAAGATTTTAACAATTTTGATCGTACTCAGCTTTAATGATAGTGTGTGAAATGTTTACTTAATTAATTTTACCTACATTACACGTAGGCCCCCACATGTGAGGCATGTAGTTTTGGCGGTTTTGTTTTGTAACCAAGCAAGGCTTGTGTTTGAATGAAAACATAAATTTGTTGTGTGAAATAATAGACCACTGAGAACTTCTTGGAATGTCCCTTACTTGACATTTTGCATAACAACAGGCAGTTTCAGTGAATGTTGGATGTTTACAACATGGTTGTCCTTTCCATTTTTTTCTCGATGCTTATTCATTTCATGATATATATATATATATATATATATAAATTATACATAATACATATGTTCCTCCTTTTGATAATTTTAAAGACAGTGAAACAGTGGGAATTGTTGGGTTTCTGTAATTAACTTCAGAGTAGGGTCTCATCTGCTCTGTTCGGAAAGCGCTGTGAGACAACTTTTGTTGTGATGTGGCGCTATATAAATAAAATAAAATTGAATTGAATTGAAGCTCACATAATAATCACTGGGTCTGCTCCCACTAACGTCAATGCTCTTATAACAAGCTACATTACCCCTCAGCTTCTTTATTTTTCCAAGGTACACTGTCTGTATTACAAAATCCCCACATGTATGGTGTTTCAGGTGATTAATATCCAGAGTCCCACGATCAAGTACTTAAAGGGCACCCTCTCTAACTTCAAAAGGCTTTGCTTTACTGAAGATATTTCTCCTTGTAACGAACCAGCCAATAGTTATCGTTATCACACGCTGCCTCTTAGGGTTGTAACCTTTTACTTTAAAGTGTTCTTTATGATATGATTGTTGTATATAATTTTTCCCCACTTTAAAACCACTTTGGATAACAGTACCTGCTAAATGCCTAAATGTTATTAGGAGGACTGAATGGAAGCGTAATTTTAAGTGTATGTATGGATAATACTTGACACTGAAATTGAATGTTTCATTGGGCAAAACTTTTGATAAAAAAAAACGTCTCTATTATTTTTCAAACTATTGGATGCCCTTTTCCTTTAGTGGATGCGGGCGGTCCCGTGAATGATGTGCAGACTTCTCAGAAATTGCTACCAGTGATAAAACAGGAAAATCAGTGGAACTTTTTTTTTCAGTGTCAGAACCACCACACACAAACAATGCCTAACCCACATGACTGCAACCTTCTAGCCTATATAAAGCCCTAGTTTTCTAAGACTGCATTCAGTAACTGATGACATTCATGTCATCAGAGAAGGGGATTTGAGATGATTCAAATTTCAAGGACACCAGACTTCTCGAACTTTGGAATGTTGAATTCAACTTCGCATAGTTCTCTTGACCAAGATCTAAGTTGTGTGACAACAGGCAGAAGACAAAGGTCCCAGTCTTACTACAACCCAGATGACAGTAAGAACCATGGTTTGCATGCACAGACAGAGGAAAACATCGTAAGACCACGCTCCAGGTATGTTTTCATGTTTTGTGATTGGAATTCTATTAAGAAATGTGTGTTTACTTACAGTCATATTTTTGCTTTAAGGCAGAAACAATCATTGTCAAATATCATTACTGACTGAATAATTTGTGCTGGATCAAATTTTGTGTAGGTCGTTTTACAGTTATGACACATCAGAGCTGTTCTCAGACCACAAGACAGGACACTCTTCAAGATCCAGTCCATTAAGGGGCAACTTGGACTCACAGTTCAATAATAAAGTTTCCAGACAAGAGAATGGAAACCAGGATGTGTCTGGTGCTCAAGTCAGCCCAAAGAAGTTTAAGTTGAAATCAAGAAAGCATTCACTTGCAAGATCGCTCAATGGTACTTTCTTTTTTTTTAACAAAATAATGGAAATTCTTTGTGAAATAAATCAATTTTTGATACAGTAAAAACACTGTTGAAATGTCTTTGTGTTATCATGCTCAGGCAGCAGAAGCAATATCAAGTCTGTGTCCATGATGACCATCTCTGAGTCAGACAACTGGGAGATATGCTCCAGTTCTGGGATGAAGTATGGACAGTTTGTGGACTGGGAGAAGATTGATCCTGAAGCAGCTAAACGATATCTTCAGATCTTGAAGAGTGACCATCAGCAACTGAAAACTATGGGCAGAGAGGGATTTTGGGCCATGCCACACACTCTAAGAGCCAAAGCGTATTATCACATTATCCACAGCATAAATTCTAGGTGAAGCCTACCACACTCAAGGTCAAAGGTTAAAGTTATATTACAGTCACAAAGCATTTTGGGTTGGCTAATATTTGACTGAAAATGGATGTAATCTTCTTCAGGGCTGCTGGTCCAGACAGATATGTCTTCTGTGAGCTTGCCAAAAAGCTTTTTGGAGAACAGAAAATCAGCACCCATCCAGTCCCAGAGTACATGGAGGCTGGAGAAATACCAAGGTACTTTTATTAAATCATACATGTACACCAACTTTCTGGATTTGGCTTTAAATTAAAATGTCTACTATTGGACATAAAAAGCAATGTCATTGAAACTTATTCCTCAAATTTGAGAAGTTTTTGACAAGTCTGACTTCATACTGCATACTGCTTCAAAAATCTTCCACAGCAGTGTCTCCATGTTCTGACATTTCAACAGTTTCTTGCATAGCAGTCACTACACTGGACATCTACTCAAGAAAACATTTTCTTGTGTATATATGAGTTTTTATGTTTTGAATGTGCATAGGCCACTGAAGTGGACACTGGTGCATTGTGCGATAAAAATTTGAAAATGACCACATAGTAATGCTGTTAAAGAGGCCCCAATATTGACGAAAAAAAATCAAGGGGTTTAATGAGCAGGAATGAGAAAAGGGATGAGATACAAGCAAATATTACAAGAGGATGAGAGTTGCATGCAAAGTTTTATGTTTGCGCATTCTTTCAATCTTGAAAAATCCTTGAATAAACATAGTTTTGACACGAAAAATCCCCTTTTTTATGCCTTAAGAAAATAAAAAATGCAGTGGTAAAAAAAACCCTCACTGAAATGATCATATTTTAGTCAGGATGATTCATGCATGTAAGGGTTCAAGCTGTGCTGATTTGAATGTTTTAAGCATCAGTGTGTTTTAGAGGAAACACATCACTGCTCAGTATAGAAATCTGTATAAAAATAAAATGAGGTACCACAAATGTATTATTTTATAACTCATAATAATATCTCAGTGGCACAGAGGTAGCTTTTAGTACAGCAAAACATATTCTCTAAGCCATGTATTATGTGTAACACACAATAATAAGTCACGAAAAGACAGTTATTTAGAGTTACGACAGTTATTTGATTCTAAATCTATTTGATAGTTCCATAATGTTTTGAAGAGTTTCCTCATAATGCAGAACTTGACTCTTCTATGTAATTCTAACATGGCGTTTTCCTTTCCAGGTATTGTCTCAACAAAGCAGGCCTGAACTCTGTTAAGAAGGTCCTACTGTGCCTTGGTGAATGCTTTCCAGATATGAGCTTCTGTCCCATCCTTCCTGCCTTGGTCGCTCTTATTCTCCACTTCAGTGAGGACGAGGCTGAATGTTTCTACAGTGTTTCCCGACTTATCTGCTACAAAGATGATAATAAGCGTTATATTGACCAGACTTTTCTCACTTACCGTGCCTCCTGTATGACATTTGGAGACCTTGCCAACAGATGTTGCCGAGGCATTCGTAAGATGATTGCCAGCACTCACCAGAACCTTTTTGAATTTTACTCTGACTGGATAATGTGGATTTTTGCTGACCTTCCATTCACATATGCCATTAGAGTTTTGGATGTCTACCTTCTTGAGGGCTACAAGGTTCTCTACAGGTGATTTTCCACTGCATTTTTACAAACTTGACTTTTTGATTTTTATTGGCATGCATATACTACTACTTAAGAAAATTCAACTTAATGTGAAATGAGATGGTCCCTAAATTTCTGTAATTCTTCTTGTAGGGTGGCACTGGCTTTACTTGATCTCTACAAAGTCTCGGTGTCCTCTCGAGTGGCAGATGTGGAGGACTTCAGGGAAGACATGAAAAGTTTTGTGCAAAATGTACATCGTCACTGCGCAGTCGAAAAGCTTCTGGAAAGAGCCTTCAAGATTCCGATTGCCACGCGGACAGAGCTTAACCTTCTGTTCAATGCCAATAAGGACTCTCTAATACAAAAAGGTGTCAGCAAATCCCAGAAAAGGTAGGTTCCATGATGAATTTGCTATTAAATAAATGTTAACTGGTTGAAATATTTTGATTGAGAATATTGTTACATTTTTTTATGTTCTTAAAGGCAAGCTGTGGTAGCAGTTGACTTCAACAACCTAAGCTCCAGCGTTGTGACAGAAACTGAGATGAGAGTTGTATGGTCCTGGATCCCTGAGCGCTTTGCTCTGTTCAGTCCCATCAGGTTATTCAGTAAAGCTGAACACAAAGGAGGCCTTGCTTCGTAAGTAAATGAGGAACCTCACCAACAAAAAGTTTAATAATTTGTTTCTGTACAATTTAAAATATTGTTTTCTGAACCATTTATAATAATGCCTTGAGTTGTTTATAGAGTATATTGTTCAAATCATTTTGGTTCAGTGAAAAACATTACTTCTCCTATGACAGTTCTTAGATACTGTGGTGGAACCATGTGACAGTTAGCTGAAGGTCATGTCAAAATACAGCCATAGAAATATGGCCATCTAAATAGTTTTCGCGTCGACTCCTAACTCTCCTAACACTTTTTGTTAGACCCAGGCATGCTTAATTTTTCCTAGGAAAACAGTAATGTTCTTTTTTGAAGCCTAGAAAATGTAAATATTTTGCAACTGAAATCTTTTTTCCTTTCTGATTTTTTAATGGGACTGAATTTGAAATGTTTACTTTTTTCTCATCTAAATACCGATTTAAAAAATACTATTTTTTTTCTATATCATTTCATGATAACAAACTTTGAAAAGCTAAATCGGGTTGTGTCAGTTAATGTTGGTTCATAAGCAACCACTAATTTTTTCCTTTATCTCCTTCTCCTCCTTCACCTCCTCTTCTATGATTTAGATTTTATTCACACATGGAAGGACATGAGCCTGCGGTACTTATTATCAAAACAATGGATGAAGAGGTAAAATTAAGATAAACAATCGTATGTACTTCCTCTTTTTATGTAACTTTATTGCTCAATCTAAATTTTCCTAAATGTGGTGGAAAGGCTGCTAAGTAATAAATGCATTGGAGAGGCTTTGTATGCTCTGAAAATATTTAAAAGTATTTTGAATTTTTCAGGTATTTGGAGCTTTTCTGTCAACAGATGTGATAGAAAGAAAAAATCACGACTCTCAGCAACTTAGTTATTTTGGAACTGGGGAGTGCTTCGTTTTCATGGTGAGGTGTTGTCCTTTTATGTCAATGTGAACTCCATCAAATCTCAAATACTTCTGTATGCATATCAACAGAGAAAAGATTTTTAGTCCACATTTTTTTAGTAAAAATGTTCTAGCATTGTCTGAGCTATTTTGTTTAAGAAGGCATCATTGTGAGAAATTAATTCTGCAGCTGAGGAAATATGTCTATATCCATGTAAAGACCATTTACACCTTAGAAATGTTTCAACATTTTTCCTTTTTATTCAATTGGTTCAACTTTGGCAAAGATGTCCGAGCTCATTGATGATTAGATTGTCGTGCTCAAGTCACAATGAAAACAAGATGCCATAAAATCAACAAATGCTTGTGTACTTCATTGAAAATTTACAGACAAACAACAATGATTGCATGAAATGAAAATAATTTAATTGTGAAAATAACAATTAAACACCTTTTGTAGTTGTTAAAATGCAGTACGTTACGCTACAGTCACTTGGGGAAAAACATCAGTCTGGTCATCATCATCCTCAATTTGATTCTGAACATCTTTGAATTGGAATTGACTCACACACTACAATACAAATTAAAAGAAAATACAATTGCTCTTTCAGCTCCGTCCAAGGATGGAACGCTTCCAGCGGGCAATGATCAGCATTCTGACCCGAAGAGCTTCTCCTCAGCAGGTTGGGCCCTGTATCAGTGACCCTCCTCAGGTCTCAAGTAGTGGCAACTGTCTAATTGCTGCCTCAGCTCCTCTGATGGGTCTGACTGGGATCCCGCAGAATCCCAGCTACCTCACCATCCCCTTCACCACACCATCAGCAGATCCCGTCAGTGCCAAAGTACCAAAGAGACCAAAGGAGCAAGAGGCCTCAAAGTTCATAGCAGGCAATGACAAACATCTGATAATCGGTAAGCCAGATTTTTAAATCAGTAGATCTCTTTTTTCACATGGCTCCTATGAATTTATGAGCAGACCGTGTTTATCCTTTCCTAAATTTGTAACTACCCTTTCTTACCGAGGAACATCTGTATTTCAGCACGGTTCACGGTCTGTGGCACTGATGTGTTGAAATCCATATAATAGTATTTGAGTGATACTTGTGAAACTTTCTTTGTTCTTTCAAATATAAAAAAACTGCTCTTCTATCATTTTTCAGTCTGATCAGAGTAGAACATCCCACTTACAAATAAAAAAAATATGAATAAGAAAGAAAATTGCTTTAACTGTTTTCTTGATAGGGATTTAGACTTTACGCAGAAGTAATTATCAATAACATTGATGTCATTTTTTTTCAGGTGGGGATGGGGGTCATGCTCTCTGCTTGCAGGAAGACTTGGAGGGAGGATACACAGAACCTTGTGACACATTCAGAAGCAGCCCTTTGTGCAAGGGGCATTTCCAGATCCAATCTCTGGAAGTATGGGGAATCCAGAACTCTATTTACATTTCTGAGTGTTTCCCCTCTGAATAGAATGACAAGAATTCTGTAGGCGACTGGGACACTTTAAAAAACATTTAAATTATTGAAGTGAACATGATTTGTATCTGCTGCAGATATTTCTTACCGTTTGAGATGTAAATTCTTATTAAATCATTTTGTGTACACTGTAGTTTTGAAAGAGCAAAATTGAATAATGACTCTTCATTATATGGTATAACTGTAACCATGCAAATATGAAGGAAGCAAAAAGAGACACAAAAATGTCTTGTTTTTTCATATTCTATTTAGAACTGTTTTTTTATTGATCCAAAAATACTTACTTTTCACAAAACTCTGGATTCCAAATTCAAAATATGTACATTGTTAGACAATCAATGTGAGGTTTGATTTGTCAAGATGTTTTTTTAAACTAATTTTGATTACCATGTGTTGTGTAGTAATAAAGTATGTGGGATTATGAATACAAAACTGTATTGCAAAACAATTTCTAATGTGGTTTTTTAAGAGTTGCCCCTTTTTTTTAACCCAAAACAGCAATCCATACATTGTAGAATATTCGCAAAGTTGTAATTTATTTGAATTTGAAAAATAAATCTGGTACTATAATTTTGCGGCGACATTTTTTAAAATTATTAAAATGTGTTTTTGGTGGCTAATTTTGAACTTGTTCATACTGACTCCCGATAAATCAAACTAACCCAATTTATGACTTGATAAATGAATAACCAAAATTGCTTTATATCGCTAACCATCTTTTTTCAAGGTATGCTGCGTTCCATGACCGTTTGCCATAATGCTTGTTCGGGTGGCAAAGGGAAATACAATTGTTTAATAAGTGACAACAAATAGACATACAAAACAAATAAAAAGTAAAATAATGGAAAATAAGTTTTAAAAGAGTATAAAAGAAGACACACCGTACGATATTAAAACGTGTCACCTATTAACAATATGTGATACGTGTCATTTGGGTGTGGTTTCTAAAAAGGGGTTGTTTTGGAAGATTAATTTTTCGCTTTAAAAAATCGAGGTCATACGCCCCTTTTCGGTATTACTTGCATGTTCAAAAGCAATGAAAATGTTTTGACCAAATATGTTATGCAGCTATATACGTTTTCGAATTCAAGTGGGACATCGAATGTATCACACGTCAAAGCAGAAGTGCCGTGGTATCTTTGGCGAGCTGCTGCAATTTTCATCCTGCTGCTTCCTTTTATGAGAACGAGGTTTGAAATCGTTGACAACAGGGGGTGTGACAGCCTCCTCTTAAGAATTATTAGACAGATATAACTTAAATTAACTTGCCACACTTTCGCTGTGTTGTTAGCTAACGCGTCAATGCTAGCATTAGCTAAAATAGCTAGTTGTAGTCTAGTGTTATCTTTCCATGGTTATTTTAACTCTAAACCTCAGCGATAAAAAACGTGCGAACTACGACTGGTGGACCCAGTCATACTCCAAAGTATGGAGTCACGCTAAATTAACTTCAAATACATTTTAAAACAGAATAGTTGCTTTCTTGATGTCAAAACGACATAAACTGTCTGTAGCTTTGCCTAATAATGTACAATGCCATTTCTTATACTTGGCATCATGCCCGAGCTGATTCTTCTAAAATAACAGTTTCATTGAGAATACATACCAGTTATAAAAGTAAGATATCGTTTCTGATACACAGTCCATGTGCAACTGTTAGGGAATCTGTGTTTTATGTGTCATTTTAGTGTTTAACAGGTGTTCTGTTTGTGAGTCCTAATGTTGAACCCCAACCCTGAATAACTTCCAAAGGAGAGAATTAAAGGATTTATTTGTCATGATGAACACCTACGTAGACACCCACTACCAAGCACAATGTTTATCAACACGTTTGGCATAAAAACAACACAAAACGATAATCCTCATGTCAATGGTAATAGTATACACAATCATCTTTTACAGTCATTTTCGTCATCTTTGTGTCAATTATAGAGGTAAATAACTGTCAAAAGCTCGTTATTGTAAATTCATAGTCATATTTGTATCTCCACAAAAACACTGAACACAAAATTCTGCTCTCGTATAGGTGAGTCTGAGAAATTGTGCGTGTAAGGATTGCTTTTGTGTGACTGTGAATCTAAAACCTGAGTGCATAGGCATCGTGAGCACAACTCTAATTTCTATGACGACAAAGTTTTAACTGCTGTGGACACGAACTCATGTCTGTGGTTATGAGTAGAAATGTTTGAATGACGTCACATGGGGCGTAATCGAACCAGATTCAACCAAACACAACATACTCTTTATCAAACACAAGGGACGATAATGGACTGGATGGAATTAACAGTTTTGGTAAGGTCACTTAGTTGTGTATCCAGTATTTATTTAGAACATTTTTATTATTTTAGTACTACTGTCATGTTAATTTTGATTATATTAATTTTGGTATAACTTGTAATTTTAAAATTTTCGCACTGGCACTGTGATGGAACTGGCGACCTGTCCAGGGTGTACCCCGCCGCTTGTCTATTGTCACTCACATAAATACAATCCTAACCCGCACAATTTCCCCGACGCACGTATATGTGAGAATAATTTTGTGTTTAGCATTTTTGTCTACATACAAAGACGACTACGGATCTATCAATAAAAAACTTCTGACAGTCATCTAAGTCCATAGTAAAACAGCAATCACAGATTCTCTATTATTTATATATTATTTATATAATTTAATCTACACTTGAAAATTCTTTTCCTCGGTCTTAGGGCTATTCACATGTGAATTTTGTCCCCAAATTTATTGAACAACTTGATATAATGTGGTGAAAGTTCCCCTTATTTGAGGGTTTCACACACCTGGAAATAAAGTTGCGTTTTCTATCCTGGATGACTGTGTTGTGTTTTAACATAGTATCAGGGAGGTGAGACAGTTGATCATCTTGAAGAAATTGTTGGTGCCCTGAATTTGACCTTTTTGGTGAAACTTTTTTCTAAATCTTCAAATGAACTTTTCCAGAACCTTAGCAGCCTTTGGAGCGATAGTCTATTTCAACCCAACTTTTGACAGCCATCGGACATCAACTCAGATATATTCAATAACATGTTTATTTATTATCGAGAGCTTAAAAAACAGAATTTCTTTGTCCAGTTTCTGAGTGTCTAAAATCAATGGTACCAACTCGGGTATTTACTTTGTATAGTAAAATCTAATCTCTAAACCATCAAATAGCCCTAGCTATAAAACGCATAAACATCCAATTTTATGAAACCCACAATGATCCATATAAGTCATGCATACCTAATGTTTCTTTCAACCATTGTCATAATACTGTTATTATACCTGTTATACATTTAATTCTACTTATCTTCATTTGTCTTTTTTATGTGAACAGGCTGCAGCTATGGGTCCAGACAGCACACCCGACCCTAAAACAGAATCTTCAGTGGAAAGTATGTTTTTTTCCCCTGTCATTGTCAAAATGTAACAACACAAATTATCTTTCCCAAAAATATTATTAATATGAGTTGTTGAGTTCCAATGTTTAAGCAGCTGTGGCTTAAATAAGACTAAATTTCCATTCAGTACAGTGAAATAACCTTTCCACATTGACTTCTCTCACTGGCTACAGTAATTATTCCTCCTCATCTATATAAGCCAAATTTTTGAGTTACACTATCGTTTATTTCTTCCTCTTACTGGGCAAGTTTGTCAATCATGGTTGGTTAAAATAGTTTATTTTTCTGGTTTGACTGTTCAACAGGTCCAGTAATGTTAAAGGTCATCTCCGAATCAGACGCAATTGATGCTTCAGCTCACACCGGGCCCAAGAACTCAAAACAGCCTGAGAGCAATGCACTAGAGAAATGTTACTCCTGTGCCATCTGCAGTAAAACATTTGACCGACCATCAAAGCTAGAGAGGCATAAACCTGTCCACACCAGGAAGTCCAAGATGCTTCATCAGTGTCAGCACTGTGAGAAGACTTTTGCTCAACAGGATAAGCTGCTCCGACACCAGAACGGCCACAGCAGGACTAACAAGCATCCCTGTCCCGATTGTGGGAAGGTGTTCAACAGGCCCTCAAAGTTAGAAAGGCACAGACGTACGCACTCAAAGAAACCGAGTGTGCCTCACCAGTGCTCATACTGCATGAAGACATTCAGTAAGCTGAATAAACTTATCCGCCACAAGAGAATGCACACGGGTGAGAAGCCCTTTACCTGCCCGGTCTGTGGAAAGGGGTTCGCTGAGTCGGGTCACTGCAAAGCACATGAAAAGACCCACGAGGAGCAGCCAGAAAAGCCGCACTTCTGCCGCGACTGCGGGATGCGTTTCTTCAAGGCCTCTGAGCTCCGCCGGCACGTCCGTTCCCACACAGGAGAGAAGCCATTCAGGTGCACGTTGTGCGAGAGCTGCTTTTCCCGCTCAGAAGGCCTTAAAAGACACATGAGAAGCCACACAGGGGAGAGGCCCTATAAATGCATTATCTGCGGAAAGGGATTTTACTCTCGACAGGATCTGAATATCCACGGATTGATTCACTCAGGAGAGAAACCACATCTCTGTCCCGTGTGTGGCAAAGGCTTCTCACAGCTGGGCAACATGAAAGAGCACGAGCAAAATGTCCATATCAAGTCAGAGAAATACATCTGCAATGAATGCGGCGCTACTTTCACGAGGCATAAGTCAATGACAAAGCACCAACGAACACACACGGGTGAAAGACCTTACCTGTGCCTCACCTGCGGTCGCAGGTTCTCATGGAGCCATTCCCTGAGCAGACACAGAAGGTCGCATTCACATCGCCAGATGTCTTTGGTCACATCAAAAGACACGCCAAGTTTTGAATCGTCAACTCTCAGTCCCAGCAGCTGAAGACAAAAGTGAAATCCATGTAAAATTTTGTCCAGAGTGTCATGCAAAATAAATTTTTTGTTGTTGTCTTGGTTAACCTGGTTGGTTGCTTGAATAATAAGACATTTACAAGTTAGAAATGGCAGATAAGGGCACCAGTGTACTGCTATCTACCAAAAAACATTTATTGATCAAAGACTGGGTGTAAATAATATTGCATGATTTTTATAGATAAATGCATGAAAAGTTGTTGCATCTCAATAATGTACATGCCTTATGTCATGTGTCTTTGTTATAGGATTAGTCACAACCAAAGCCAAATTACAAATTTCGGCATGGTGTTGTCTATGCAAAATGTCTCATTTTTTTTAAGTGTAGGCAAATAGTGAGCCTCTTGCAAGTGACAGACTTGTTAAAAAACTTAGTTCTATGCCAAACAAGAGGACAGAAGCAGTTGTTTCACTGTTCTTCATTCAGATTCATAATCATTTTTCAAATCTTCAAAAATGAAAAATGATTTATTGTGTGTGAGCCCTTGGAATCGTAAAATGTGAACAGTAGTTGTTCCATATAATGCAAGAACAGTTTTAAACTTGCCAGATAAAGAGTTTGGTTAAAATGAACACGTGTCTTTTACTGTTTCTACTCCAGTTTCACTTAAAATTGAGATGTACGGTACGCTTAAGATGTAGCAATGTAATCTACTAATTATATTTTTGGTCTTATCTCCATGCAAAACAACTTAATTTCAGTCAAAAAATCTACAGTATTATAATCACTTTTTTGTAACTCCACATACAGTATATGTGTGAAATATATTTTGATCTTTCCAAGTTCATTGAGAAGTCCAAGTCCAGTCAGTATCGTGGTTTTAGGTTAAGTCATGTGTTTTGTGTTTTTGGTTTGTTTTCTATAATTTGTAAATAAGGTTATGTTTCCCTGTGCTTTTATTCCTTGTGTCCCTGCTTTCATTCACGTTGCTCTATTTTCTTTGGCTTCCCTCATCAGTTCAACTCTGCACCAGCACTTTCTCATTGGTTCTTTATTCTATTAATTACTCTCCCCTCTATATAAACTTCAAAGCCATTTCATTGTCAGGTCCTTTGCATTAACTCCTTTTATTATTGTATTTATGGATTGATACCACGTTGAATGTTACCCTGTCTTCATTGTTTTTTCCCCAGTGTCAGTGTCTGTCTCTTGGGTTTTGTGTCCCCAAGTTTAGCTTAACCTTGTTATCTGACATAGCTGTGCCTTTGTTTGCTGTTTTCTCTGGATGTGGATGCTCCTTCTGCTAGTTACCATACCCCATCCTCAGCTTTTCTAATGACAGGTACTTTAAATTTAGCTAACACATGGCTAAAATTACAAGGTAGAATGATATTTTTCAGAGACAGAATTATAAATTAGATTTTTTGTTGAATAGTATTTCATTTTCACCATCTTCTCAGACCAGATAATTGATTTTCACCTAAACATTTAAATTAAAACTTGAAGTAATAGTCTGTAATGTTGAATACTCTTTTGAGAAGCAGCATCACTGCTAAAATATATATCTCCATGCAAGATATGTACTCTGTTTTAAGTCATGTTCAAGAGGCCGACATCAATAACCAACAAAAAAAGAACTGTCTGGAAACCAAACTTGAGAGGTTGGAGGATTCATAACAAGGTTTCTTCACACAATAACACAGACAATAACTAGATATCTGATATTTGACTGTCATATAACCATTGTTGGTTAGAATTTAACAGTGGTTTGTATCAAATATGATTCATACGCTTAATACTGTTGGACTACAAGGATACAAACATGAAATTTAGAGGAAACAATGACACTAAGATAAACAAGTCTCTTGTGAGGGTAGCTAATAATAATGTCAGTGACAACCTAAACCAGGATTTTACAGTTGCTGTGAAATGAATCCCAGTTCTGTCTGTTTAATGGTCATCTGTTCAATAATTTGATTTAAATCCATGCTGGATTTTTTTCAGGTGAAAATGATCGATTAACCATAATATTGCTTCGAAAGACTTGTTAAGGACCACATTATCTCAACGCTCCCCCCATCACACGACCCGTTCCAGTTTGCGTACCAGCCCAAGCGCAGTGCGGAGGATGCAGTCTCCACTGCTCTCCACCTGAGCCTGGAGCACCTGGAGGAGAAGAACACCCACGTACGGATGTTGTTCCTGGATTTCAGCTCAGCATTCAACACAATCATCCCCCAGGACCTGGTAGGCAAACTGGGGCCCTTAGGAATAAACACCCCCCTATGCAACTGGCTGCTGGACTTCCTCACTGAAAGAACCCAAGCTGTCAGAGTGGGGAACAACACCTCCAACGTCATCACCCTGAACACTGGCACTCCCCAGGGCTGTGTCCTAAGCCCCCTGCTGTTCACCCTGATGACCCACGACTGCCGTCCACGCCTCAGCTCCAACCACATCCTGAAGTACGCGGACGACACCACAGTAGTGGGCCTCATCCGGGACAACAATGAGGCGGCCTACAGGGAGGAGGTGCGGCATCTGGTGGACTGGTGCAGAGTGAACAACCTGATCCTGAACGTCAAAAAGACCAAGGAGATTATCGTCGACTTCAGGAAATCCAGACCCACCCACACACCCCTCCTCATCAACAACTCAGCTGTGGAGGTCGTAAGCAGCACCAAGTTTCTGGGAGTGCACATCACTGACAACCTCAGCTGGTCAGTCCACATCTCCTCACTGGTGAAGAAGGGCCAACAGCGCATGCACTTCTTGCGTCGGATGAAGAGAGCATCCCTCCCGCCCCCCATCCTTCAGACCTTCTACAGAGGGACCATCGAGAGCCTGCTGACCAGCTACATCTCCATCTGGTCTGGGAGCTGCAAGGCCTCTGACTGGACGTCTCTTCAGAGGGTGGTGAGGACAGGGGAGAAGATCACGGGGGCGACGTTCCCCTGCATCCAGAACATCGCGGACAGGCGCTGCCTTTCCCGGGCTCGCCAGATACTCTCCGACCCCACCCACCCCAACCATGGACTGTTTTCCCCCCTGGCGTCCGGCAGAAGGTTCCGCAGCATCTTCTGCAGAACGACCAGACTACTAAATAGTTTCTTCCCCCTTGCCATCAGACTACTTAACGCCACATAACCCCCCCCCCCATACACACACACACATATTTATTGATATTTCGTTGCTAAAAATTTTACTCTGGTAGCCAAGAAATTGACATTTCGTTGTCTAATTCACCTTGTGTATTTGACAATGACAATAAAGGAAGTCTATCTATCTATGTCTATAACTTTTAGACTAATTTTGTGTTAAAGTGTTAAATTAGAATGAAATGGTATTCTATCAATTGGCCATCTGTTTTTATTACAGTCTTAATTCGGAAAGCAATATCTTTAGGTGCCATATACATTTTAGAAGAAGACGAAAGACACATGGAAAGACCCAAAAATGAGTAGCCTGAATGTGCAGTGCGGTCTCATGGTTGGAAGTTCGATGAACACCTAAATGCAGCGTACAGACGTCCTTTCCAACGGAAGCAGCGTTGTTGCTAGGTGACCGTTTGTTTCAGTGTAGCGCATTCTGAACAACTTTTTACCACTGGTGGTTTATGATGAAAACAAAATAAAAAGCGTTTGCCAATTTAAAGTATACAGACGGAAATAGCATCGAAGAGCAAAGTCATTGACATTGTGGATTTACTTGCAAAACTATGGCTCAGGAGACGAAGGGAATCCCTCGACTGGTATTAGAAGCAGTTATTGGTTTCAACGGTACGGTTCCTTTTGACCTCCATTTGAATTCCAATTGTGATAATTTACATTTAAAAAAATCTGCCTTTTATTTATTTTTTAATTGGTTTGTGATATTTTATTGGATAATGGGATTACACGAAATAAACCAATACTTGGTTAAAGTGACAGAGCTACTTAATTTTCTTTCGAATCTCACATACCTTTTAAAAGTACAGTGGATCATCCATCTTGGTGTAATTATTCATATGCGACTATGTTTTACTACATTCAGGTCATGTGCCTTCTGGCCTCAGACTCCATCCAGACAGAGAACACCTGATTTATCCTCTTGGATGCACAGTTGTTTTGAAGAGAATAACAGATGGCAAGCAGGACTTCTTGCATGGACACACAAACAACGTTTCCTGTGTTTCAGTGTCCAAAAGTGGATCATACATTGCCTCCGGGCAAGTCAACTACATGGGCTTTCAGGTAGACCTACTTATGAGAGATTTCATATTAAATTGTTTATGCAGATGTGATATCCCATTGCAGACCATAGTATCTATTTTAACATTGTTTGAATACACACTTTTTTCTAGGCAATAGTGATTATCTGGAGCTTTGCACAGAGAGCCATTCATGCCCAACTGCAACTCCACAAGGCCAAGGTTGAGGCACTCTCTTTCTCTCCCAATGACAAGTACTTGGTGTCTCTTGGGGGACAAGATGATGACAGGTAGGTTTTCACGCAACATGGCCAGTTTGCAATATGAGGGATCATAAAAAGCAGGAGGAAAACCATGAAGTACTGTGTGAGATGTTTGTTACATATTCCCAGAATAATTGTTTGGAATATCGAGACCAAGCAGGCTATCTGTGGAAGCCCAGCTTCGGGTCGTGCCGCCGGTCACAGCATCACTGTCCAGTACTCAAACACAGATGACAACATTTTTGTCTCAGGTGGAAAGTGAGTGAATCATGTTTTTGGAATTCATTGAAAAGAGTATACAATCTTTAAATAAAATGCAGTGTCATGAATTTAATATCTCTATACTTTCCACTACTTTTCTCTGTTTTTTAAGATAATTAATCATTACCTTTGGCAGGGAAACTCTTCGAGTATGGGAACTCGATCTCGCCAATCGAAAAATAAGACCCACAGACTGTAACACAGGCAAGCTAAAGAGGATTGTGAAATGTATTGAGGTAAGAGGCCAAGTGATCAGTACTTTTTCACCGAGTTGGCAGTTTTGATGTCCATTTCAGTTGTGCATAAAGTTGTTCATGTTAGTATGTCACCAAAAACTAATGAAAAATATCATGAATACATTGATTGATAATAGTTTTCAGTAGTAGTAAATACATTATCTGGATGCAGTGATGAATGAAATTGTCTTCAACCATAAGTGGAATTAGAGCTTTGAAGGCAAATACAGCATTTGTACAATTTGCTGAAGAATCAAAGCTAATTTAGAGTGTGAGCATTATTTTTACTCTTAAAGACCAGTTCCTTTCTCTGCCACTTGTTTGCTTTCTTTAAACTGTTTTTAAAAATTGCACATATTGCTGAGACAGGCTAAGTGTTCAACTAAGATCCTAATAACAATCACCTAAACAAGTAACTTATAACAACAATCTGGTCCCAAAGATATTACTTAAATTTGGTTCTTAGGTTGTCTGTTCGTGTAAGTGTTGACAAATTATTATTATTATTATTTAATTAGTCCCTTAAGATTAATTGCTTTATTATGTTTCAGTGATTTATGGGTGAGTGAGAAAAAAAGAAATTCCATGTGAAATTGTTTCAGTCAAACAAACTGTCCTTAAAATAAAATAAAAGCATTAAAGCTTTAAAAGACATTCAAAAGGTTTGAAGATTGCTCAAAGCCCCATAAAAATGGTACATAAAGTCTGGCTCCTTTCAGCTATATATAAACATACAGTACATCCCTGATGTACTGCATGATGGAGAATCCTCCATTATACATTATATTTCATACAGGATAGCCTCTCATCATTCAGAATTGTATGTTGCGCTAATTAAATGTTACATTGTCATCATTACAGATATCTGAGGATGACAAGTTCATTTTCTGTGGCACCACCAGTGGAGATATTATGAAAATAAATCTGAAGATGGCGATTCTGAGTGACTGTGGTCCAGTTAAATCAAGATTTTGCCAAGTAAGTTATACCGGCAGCTGTAATTATCTTCCATTTTGGAAAAGGAATTTAAGTTACTTTTCTGCTCACTTTGTGATTGATAGATAAGTCAATGTAATGACTTAGTTCTTGGTTTTACAATGACTCATATCATATGTTAAATTTGATCTACAAAGGCAATTTTATTAATGTGCACTTTTCCATTCAGAAAACAGGTCATCTTTGATTTATCATTAATCATTTGGATGTAAAAACATGTAAGCATTTTTAAAAATATTTAATAAGTGTTTATAAGGCACCGGATATATCTGAATTCTGAACAGCATTTGTGAGTTCTTGTTTTTTTTTGTCATTGAAACTTTTTGGGGGGATGTGGTCACCACAATTGTTTTTTGTGCAGGGTGTCAGTGCCCTCAAGGTTCTGAAATCTGGACACCTGCTGCTGGGCACTGGATCTGACACCTTGGCTCTGTGCACCACAACAAACTTCAAAACTCTTAAGTATGTCTTGTGCCTGTATGATTTATATCTTTCTCACATTCATAAACTTGTATTCTAATGTACTCAAAGATGTAAAAGGATGCCAGTAAATATATGTTTATTACTTATTTCTTTCTCAAATTAGGACAGTCAAGCTGGAAAAGGGGGTGACTTCCATCGCTGTAAGGGAAGACGAACAGCAGTTCTTTGTTGGAACAGAAGCTGCGCAGATGTATCGCTTAAATTATGAGAACTTCGAAGCTGAACTCATGTCCACCAGCCACAGTAGTGCTGTCAATGACGTTGCCATCCCATTGTAAGTGGGGGACAAACAGCAATGTATGTTATTACAAATAATTAATCTCATGTTTTGTTTTTTTGTGTGGAATAGAAAATCCACTAGCGGAATCACAAGGGCCTTGTTTAAACTTTTTTTAATGTCTTTCCACAAGGACCAAGGAGCATAAGTATTAATCCTCTATATAACTGTTTTAGGTTATGCCAGAATATGTTGCTCTCACAACTTTGCCATTGAACCGTTGTCTTGGGGGAACCAACAGTCTGTCAGTGTTACTGTCCTTCGATTCATGTTGTCATTGGCCTCACTATTGCAATTTTCAGTAACAGCATTTCTTGAACACAAAGACAACATGTTCCAAAATTCCGGAACTAGTCTCTCACTCTCAATCACAGCTTTACCTTATCACCAAGTCTCACAGTCACATCAAACATTCCTCATGCCTTAAGTTCCCTGCTGAGCTCACTAGAGGGTGACACATGTCCACCTCATTTTATGTTGAGAAAAAGGCAGTTAGTTTTAGGCATTTTTAGGCATTTGTTATTTTTCATAGAACTGACAATGACAATCTATCTTGTGACTCTAAATCCACATATCTCATCTTGTTTCAAATACTAGTGCTACATCTGAACTGTTTGCAACCTGCTCACATGAGGATATCAGATTGTGGCACAAAGACAGGCCCAAAGAGCTGCTGCGGATTACAGTTCCTAATGTGACCTGCAATTCCCTGGACTTCATGGCTAATGGACAAAGCATCATCAGTGGTAAGGGTCAGGGGTAGATATGCACATACACACTACAGTATACATTGCTATGGTGTTGCAGATATCTGCTGTTTTCTGAAGTTACCTACAGCAGAAATCACCTCGGTAGCAGCCTGCTAAAAATTGATTCCCTCTCTTCTAGCATGGAATGATAATAAGATTCGTGTGTTTACACCTAAAAGTGGACGCCTTATGCTCATCATAAACAATGCACACAAAATGGGTGTGACAGCCATCGCTGGAAGCAAGGATTGCAAAAGGATTGTCAGTGGAGGGGGAGATGGACAGGTTAGTAGATGTAACATGAAAACACCAGATATGTATTGCTTTTGAATAATATTGAGCTCACAAAACCGAAACCTAAACAAGCATCATTAAAAGGTTGTACTTTATCGCGGTGAAATTCTAGCTCACGTATTGCCATCAGTTTTGTAGTAGAATTAGGTATTGCAATTATTAGAAGGGAATGAATGATAGTGACAAATGGCATTTATTCAAGAATAATAATGTGCAGTATCCATGTGAAGCTTTTTGAATTGCTCATATTTCTCCAAGACTTGATCCAAGAAGCAACTGTGTATCATTGAGTAGAGTTTAGGTTAAGACACCTGCACACACTGAGTTGAAACCACTACATTATTCTAGTAGTTCTGGATACAGATCTAAAGCAAGAAGAACTCTACCACTTCATATTCAACATTTTGGCATGATTGAGCTTTATAGAGTCCTGGCAAATGCAGAGAGAACCAAAGTTGGAAAGATTTTTTTGACAAAATATCATTCTTGTGAGCAGTTATAGGTGTAGAATATAAGCTGAAATCTTGACAAGATATTGCCTTAACCCACTGATATATGAGCCGTCTTCTCAACATGCCACCCTCATATGTTGCTCACAGGTTGCTTCAATTTGGCAAAGCCACTTACTTAATACCTTCAAATGAAAACTGTTACTTGACTTTTTGGAGAGAAATTGTATTTAATGAAAATCATTTAATGGAGCAACAATATTCTTAATTGGAAAAAAACTATATATTTAACTGAAATATGCAGAAATATTCAAAATCTCCACCTCAAAAGACTGTCTTTGTAGAGCTCCCTTTTGAAACAAACACGGGGCCAAGCCTTTGTATCTCTATAGATCTATGTAGATTTACTTAATGCCCAAAATATTTCATTCTAGTCTGATCTGACAAGGAGGGCCTTTTACTGAACTCTAAATGGATCCTCCTCAAAGAACATTTTAGTGAACAATACTGATCCGGTCCCACTGACAGACTATCAGAATATACGATCTTCATTCAAGAATCTTGGTGGTCTATCCTTTTTAGCACCTCACTTGTGCAACGTTTTTATTTTTTATACGAAATTGAATGGTTCTTCAAATTGTTTGAGTTTTTGTTCCACAGTTCTCTCTAGAATATTAAACTTAATGTTTCCTCAGTAGTGTTGCTGACCAGGCCCTTATACAAGTTGTGTATTTATACTGAATTCACAAACTGCAAATTCCACATAGGTGGACATGAATGAAGGTTAATTGGTGAAAACAAATAATTCAAAGCTTCAGTCACAAATGGTTACTGACATAAAATCCCAAAGCATACTGATTTTATCCATGCCCTGGATTAGAGACAGAACGTAGATGCATGATTTAGATGAACAATGGTCTTTCTTGATCAGCTCTCCAAAGAATACAAAAAAATCAACAAGCAATGAAAAGTTACTTGAAAGACCTCTCCATAAAAGGAAGGCAACAAGACTGTGAAATTAACTATAAACAAAAGTCAGATAAGGTATAAACTATGAAACGTTACCGAATATTAACTCCTTTAACAGAGGCAAAACAGAGCTATGAAACATTAACTACAACCCAAAGACACTGCTTATTGAAGGAACTACAAATGATGAAATGTTAAGGAAAAATGATCATTCCCAAAAACAGAGGACAAAGCACAGAGCTATAAAACAGTACAACAGAAAATCACTCCACTATGGAGGAAAAAACAAAAGGCTTTGAAAATTTGACAAGGCTATGGCTATTAGTCAAAACAAATCTCTCTTGGAGAAGACTAAATCAAGACAAGACTGAGACTCTAGACATGACAAGGACTATGAGACACTAAAAATTATATGAGATGCAAAACAGTCTGGCACAAGACAAAATAGGGAAGACAGAATCTTGACACAAGAGGCAAGGGGCAAGTGACCAAAAACAAGAGGAGAAATACCATTTCAAAATAAAACATTATTGTTATTACATATTATAACAAATTATAATATAAACTCTAAAACTAACCATAGCTTATTGAAATATAAAACTAAAAGAAGAAAAATAACAACAAGAATAAAACTCCTAACAAAATCTAGAAGTAAAAGTCACCTGTGAATTAGACCAGGTTGTTATTTCACTGAGGTTACGGACGGAAATATTGCTCATGGATGAACATTTGCGGATAAATGATTAGCTATTGTACAGTTTACCATTATAGTATTGGGAATAGAGAAAAAAACAGCTATTATAGTTTGTAAAATTCAAAATGGTGAGATGGAATAGTGGCCACTGCTTTTCCCCCTCTGTCCTCTGTCACCTCCTTCCCACCACTGAGGAGTTGTACAGCCTGATGGCCACAGGAACAAAGGAGTTGGTCAGTCTATTAGTCTGACATTTAGGAAGGAGCAGTCTCACCAGAGAGTCCAGCTTCGTGTCCACGACAGGGCTGGCGCGCCTGATCAGTTTGTCCAGTCTTGACGTGTCCTTCTCAGATGTGCTGCCTCCTCATCACACCACAGTATAAAAGAGGTTACTGGCCACCACAGACTGATAAAACATCCCCAGTAGTTTGCTGCAGATGGACCGCAGTCTGCTCAGGATGTACAGCCTGCTCTGTTTCTTTCTGTAGAGGTGTCCAGCCACAGCCCAAGGTATTTGTAGGATTCAACAACCTCAACATCCTCTCCCTCTAGTTGGACTGGTCTTGGCTTTGGTCTGGACCTCCCAAAGTATATGACCCGGTCCTTTGTCTTGGAGATGTTGAGCTTGATCTGTAACCCGAATGAGTAACTTGGGAGCCTGCTGATGAGATGAAGGGCACTTTCACTTGAGGGCACGTCGATGCCAGAGCTATTTGGTCCACTTTAAAAAAACAAACTGAATTTATTTACTTTGATTGTCTTTTTCTTTGAGCTTTGGTTAAAGCACATCCAATATCTGTTCTGCATGGAAAAATGGAACCTGTTTGTTTGCAATTGAACCCTGGTGTAGTTCGCTTACAGTGAGGAATATGAAGGACTATCGAGCCAAACAAAGAGAGGGCGTGATGTTCCTTGCTCAGGGGTCGGGTAACCGCAGAAGCATGCCATGGTATCTTACTTTCTGCCCTCTCTCTTGACACATGCTAGGTTGCATGCTTCCTCATCTTTCTTCATGCATAACTTATTCAAAAATAGATTAGGCTCTAACACAAAAGTAAAAACAAGAAACCCCATGACTAAATTAATTTACATTCTACAGAAATTCTAGTGTTTTTTTTAGCACAGTTTAATTATTTCACCATTTCCCACTGAACTGGATTTTCTGGCCTTAAAGTGCTCTAACTGACATAAGGTGAATAAATGACAACTGGTGTGTGTAGAACTGGTGAATTTGAGAAAACCATTTGTAAGGAAATTTAAAAAGAAATTTGAGCAAACTAAGACATGAAAACATACAAAAACATAAAAAAACAAAACATGAGAGAGATTAAAAAAAATACAAGTCAACGCTCAACTGGAATATATCCTTATTCAAACACAAACAAAAAACAACAAAAAACTAAATACAGACAGACCAAGACCAGACAAACACATCCAATGTAAACTCATTCAGAAACTACAGAAGCTGACTACCTGAATGCTCAACTGAATGCTTCAAAATAACTAGTATGATTCTAGCTGGGTATTGACAGTGAGAGTCTTTTTGTGGGAATTGACTGATATGATGGATGTTTAAGCATTTGATTAATTGAGTTGATTGCAACTTATATGGCCACTGTGTATTAAACTTCCTCAATTAAATAGCAAAAAATCTGGGCTTCCAAACTCTGTGCCACATTGATGAAATCCAGAGATGAAAGAGCAAATATGTGTATTTAAAAGAGTGGTGTTGATGAAATGTGTACAGAGGTTTTAATAGGTAAATAAATAATGCATACAAATTTTTCTGTGAATGAGTTTGTTTTCAATGTATGCAGGTACGTGTTTGGGAACTGCTTCCACATGGCCACCGTTTGCTGGAGATCATGAAAGAGCACAAAGCCACAGTCTCTTGTGTCCAAATCAAAAGCAACGACAAAGAGTGTATCACTGCCAGCTCTGATGGGGCCTGCATCGTCTGGGACATAGTGTGAGAATTTCATCCATCCGTTATGGACAAGGGACATGTCTAACCTTCATTTGTTTGAGTCTTTAGTCTCCTTATACAGTATTTGGCCCTGAGGCTCTTTACTTTCCTTTGGCATTGGAGCCAGGAAGGTTTATACCCATGCTCACCAACTCCTTGAGAAATGCTAACAAAAATCACCCAGTTCCGATAAGACCCCTTGAGTTTGGTCTGCAGAGAGCTATACCACCAAAATACTAGTTGAGTCAGAAACCTTGCTTTCTGTCCACTGACTGTTGTCCACATTACTGTCCCATGGTTGTTGTTATTCTTCCATTTGTCAAGTATCAATGACATACAGGTAGGATGACCTGCCTGTACAGACTAAATTTGAAAATATCATACACATATCAGATTTAGGACCACATATCCAAGTGATCTTGGTTGTATTTGAAAAAATCTGATTTGTGTTATTCACAATGTCATGAAAAGTTCAGATACAGGTCGCAATAGGGCGAAAAAGGCAGATTTGGGCCACATCAGGCTGCAATGTGAACAAAGCCTTAGTAAATAGACTGACGCCATAGCCAGCCAACAGTTGTTTTCTATTGAGTTTTTGTGTATCAACAAATTGATAATGTTTTGTTTTTTAATGCACGTTCACATATTGGATTGTAATGGCAGAACTGTAAAAAACCTTATCCACCCCTAATTTCTTTATACAAGTTTATCACCATTTGGCAACCTTTAGGGGGTGTACCCCACTTCTCGTCCAATAGCAGCTGGGAGAGGCTTCAGCTCCCCTTGGACCCGAATAGAAAAAAATGGTATAGAAAATAGATGCATGGATGGAGCTGGAATTAAGAGTAGATGGATTATTTGAAAGTCCAGATGTATCTTTAAAGTTCTGTTATAGGCCTTTTTCATGAGGATATCTTTCAGATAATCTATTTTTTTACTCCTTCTTTAGTTCCTCTCAGTTTCATTAGTTTATTCGTTAAAAGGTCACAATTTACTTAATGCTAAAATATGCCAAGTTTATTAACTTAAAAGTATCGAGAATAGAAAAAAAAATATATAGAATAGAAAAATGTCTTCGTAAAGGAGTGCTGTAATAAAAATTGTTCAAATATACAGTACATGTTGAAATGAGCTCTTTGCAAAGGATTATGTTAAAACATGGCATGGAGTCTACAAGGAGAGTTTTTTCTCCTAAATGGTTAGGAACAAAGAAAAGAAGGATATACTATAAACAGTCAATCCACAGTTTTTTTGTTTTTTATATAAACAAGGCTTCACCTGGGAACCTCATTCACCTGTCAATTTTCATGTATCCTGACTCTTTTCCTCTTTTCTTTAGTCGATTTGTAAGCCTGCAGATGATGATTGCAAACACTCTGTTCCGGACCGTGTGCTACCATCCAGAGGAATACCAGATCATCACCAGTGGCACAGACAGAAAGGTCTATAGCAGTTGTTAATAATGCTTTTCATTATTTTTTACTGCATTTGAATTTCATCTAATGTAATCCACATATATTCCATTAGAGTGATCTCTTGAATCTGTCTTTTTCTTTCTGTTTTTTTGTCCATTCAAAACTCAGCTGGCACACCTCGAGGCCAAAACGTAATGCTTGTAATCATTTAAAATCACAAAAAAATTGGCTTTTATCATTGGAAAATTTAAATGGAGATGTGATGAGCATGGGAAAAAAAGTCTGCTTTGCTGATAAGAACGGCAGAGGAGGACAGTGAAATCCTTGCACAATGGGTTTTGGTTTGTTTTCTTATCCCAGCATAATTAAGCTGTAGCGAAAAAATTCACCCTTCATTTGGTGAAACATTTTGATTAGCTGAGTTTGCTAATTTGCATGGGGTTGGAAGTTCACTGTGGCAGAATGAGGTGCTTGTTGTGCACTTTACCCACACCCCTTGAACCAGGCCACACGTTAGACCCATATTGCTGCCGTCCCTGCATGATGAGAGCTGAGTACAAGTTGTGCTGATTTACCCAGCACTGTGGATGTGAGCAGGGATGGAGTGAAAAGGAGGTATTCATAGAAGGTGAGGGAGAGAAGGGAAAGAGAGAAGTGCTGTGGTGTTCGTGTCTTCCTGCGGATGTGCCTATCCTATGCAAGTGCCAGCCAGATCCACCATCTGCTCATCCTAGGACACAAGTCCCTCTGTGTGAGGAAACAAATAGCAATGTGCTCTCTCTCTTCTTTGCAATCTTAAGCTTTCCTCATCTCCCAGCATACCTCTGGGGATATTCATCTAAACAGAACTGAAAGAAAAAGGAGAGTTGGCTAAATAGACTACATTTTGGGGGGTCAGGACGAGATTTAAAGAGATTGGATGATGATGCAATTTGCTAATGATTATGATATAGAGATAAATAGTACTGGCTCGTACCAGTTCCAAGTTGTGCTTTAATTGGCACCAAAATGATTTTTTACAATTTTATATAAGCAAATAGATATCTTGGCAACCTAGTGACCACTTTCTGTGTGCCATACTGAAATAATATACTTTAAAAATCAGCTGTAACCTCATATACCTGTTTTTGAGATGTAGTACCCTAAACAGCTATCATTTATCTCAGTTAAGCTATAGGGGTGACTGTTAGCTTGACTTAGACTCTGAATGGGACCATAAAAGGGCAAACATTTTACTTTCTCAACCTAGTGCCTATTGTACTCACAGAAGATAGTGACCACTTTCTGTGTGCCATACTGAAATAATATTCTTTAAAAATCCGCTGTAACTTCATATACTGTACCCATTTTTTAGATGTAGTACCCTAAACAGCTATCATTCATCTCAGTTAAGCTATAGGGGTGACTGTTAGCTTGACTTAGACTCTGAATGGGACCATAAAAGGGCAAACATTTTACTTTCTAAAATAAGCCAAACCCAAAAAACTTACTGGGAGTTTTACATTTTTGTATAACCACTTATTCCAAGTACGGTCGTTAAGGTTGGACCCTTTTGTTCAGGTAGAGGACTCAGGTAGAGGTGGGGTAAACCCTGGGCTACAAGGCAGAAAAGAGAGTTTTGAAAAAAAAATATTAGAACACTTAAGAAAAATGGCTTTTATAGGTCAAATCCTCCTGCATGTATACCATCTACTATAGCCAAACCAGGTAGTTCCAGAATTTGCTACTTTTGTAAAAACAATAAACTGCAAATATATTTTAAAGAAGCTGATTTCCCCATACCGCGATGGACTGGCCAGCTGTCCACGGTGTACCCTGGCCCTTGCCCGTTGTCCAGCCAACCCTAGACATCATTGGGCAGTATAGAAAATGGCTGGATGGATGAATTCCCCTTGAAGGTGTTCTTATTCATGCGTTTTACTGGTATTTTTTCTGTTTGCTAAATGCATTGGAAAATTTGGATAAATTGAAAAGCAGCCTATTAAGTGTCTATTTGGATATTCCCTAAAGCAGAGGTGTCCAAATCTGGACCTTGTACCCCATCATTCACTAAATGCCAGGCTGGAAGAGGTTATCTTACCTGTCAGACCCTCTTGAAAATGAGGAAGGTATGCAAAATGGATGGGTGGGGAAGAATGGAGTTTTAGTAATTGCTTTTTACTTATCCTAGTAGTTAACTTGCATATGTTTATTCTTTCTACAAAACAGTTTTTTATAAAGAGTGCTGTTCTCATTCCACAATTCTTACGTTATTTCTCATGATGCATCTTTGAATATTTTTATTTTTCAGATTTAATGTTTATTTTCTTAGAGGCTTAAACATATTTTTACCTTGATTTAAGGTATGTTATAGCCTGGAAATCAATTAAACTAACAGTCTTTCACTGGTGGCATTTGGGAGTATATTTTGAAGATGGAAAAACATGAATCATCAGGAATCTAACTTGCCAAAGGTTTCTACACCCTTGTTTGTCCCATATTTAAAAGGAGACAACATTAGGCCTGATACCACTGCTTGTAATTAATTTTCTGGTGGCCTGTTTAGTGGCTCTGGGCCAGTGTCCCAGGCTGAGATGGAAGAAACACAGATGGGCCGAGAAAACTCACACAGGTGGGGGTCTCTGATAAGCTGCAAAAAGGAGAGGAGACATAAACAAGAGGTTGTGACTGTGGGAATGAGGACGACAGAGAAAATGATCAGTGCAGAGGAAGAAGGAGAACATATAGAGTAGCTGTGCATTGACATAATGTTCATCTGTTGGAAGACGGTTTAGATAGCACACTGTTGACGAAAGCTTTAGTAACACAGGTCAGACCTAAATAAATGTGAAAGATAAGATATACTCCAGTTTAACAAATGGTATGATAAAAATCATTTTACAATTTTTTTATTTGCCATTTAAAATAGACATGCCTGTCCCGAAATCAAGCTATTTTAGGATGTCACAATACGAGCCAGCAGTGTTCCTGTGCTCTTTAAAAGATGATCAGTGGTTTGAGAATCAAAGAGAGCTGGAGCTATAAATAGGATTAACTTATTCTTTTGTTCCTGTTCCATCACATCTGATAATATTTGCTTTCTTTTTGCTGAGTAACAATTCCTGCCTATGGATCATTGGTATTTAGGAAAGTTCCATGAACTATGTACTCTCTCTGAGCAGCTCTTGTTCATCTACCCATTTCCAAAAGACTAATTATTTGCACTTCCCTTTCTTTTGTTTTTCTTTCTTCTGATAACCCTTGATTAATTTGAAGTGCAACCCGTATGTTGTGTTTTTATAATTGTGAATTGACCTTGACTTCTTAGCATTATTTGAGACTGATATTGTTTGGTTTAATTTAAGTTTTCTACAGGAGACTTGTTCGTACAGGATGACTCAGGAATGGTAATTTTAATGATAAGCCCCTATCTGTACCATTTACAACAGCTAACCTTGAAAATGTATTCATCTTGCTTGTGTAAATAACAAGAAATGGTTGCTTTTCTGCTGCCTGTCCTATTAATAAGCTGAGCCAACAGTTTGACAGCTTTTCAGCAGTACAGAGGATAAAATCTAATTTAGATCAGTAAAGTGAGTCTGTAAAAAGTTGGTACGACAAGTTGGCATTAATACGTTTAAATGCAGAGTGAGAAAAACAAAGCAGTAAAGATATAGGTCTGAGGTAACGTGTTACTGTCACGTGTTAGTTAGTAAGCGCAGTATATAATGACATGGTATGATGATAACAGCAGAATGAAAGTGTTGCTACTTGAATGATCTACATCATGATTGCCTGCAGTCGGAAGTAGATTACATTATACATCAGAATGCCAAACAGAGCTCAGCATGTCAGATTGTGTATGTATAACCCCAGATCCAAAAAGGCTAGTATGAATTAAATTACAGAATTAAATCATTTGCAAGTATGTTTTATTGGAACTAATCAAACACTGTCAGTTAAGTATTCTATTCTATTTCCTTTTTTAAATGAATGAATATCTTGAACTCGTTAGGAAAAAAGTAAAGCTGCAAAATAGAGTCAGAGACTTATTGGTAGAAGTCAGTAATATGAAAGAGTATAACAAGGGTCCCTTACGGAGGCAAATCCGCTCAACGAAGACGACAAGTAAAAGTTTAGTTATTTGATATCTTAAACAAGCAAACAAACAAATTTCAAATTAATTTCCCCACAACCACATTTGGGAAAATTTTGTAAACATATCAGTAAAAAAATCAAATGGCATCTCAATGTAAAAGGCTCAAAGCTTCATTAAATTGAGTGACAACACAGACCCCTAGTCAGTGTGCATACAATCCACCACGCCAGCCACAAATGCGAGCTAAATATCCATCATGCCAGGAAGAAGCTGTTTTAGGCCATCTTTTTTGCAATGATGCTTTTTTTTTTTGTTCTTGGACTTAATCCTCAAATGCTTGTTTTATTGTTTTGTTTTCTTCTACATTTGTTTCTATGTTATTTTTTATTTACAGGTTGCTTACTGGGATGTTTACGATGGCTCTATCATCAGAGAACTGGAGGGCTCCCAGTCTGGGGCTATCAATGGCATGCACATCACGCACGACGGAAAATACTTTGTGACAGGTCACACATCTGTGCTCTTTTTACTTTGTCCTTGTGCTCTGTTTAGAGATTTTCACATTGCTATTATATTATTTCCAGCAAAAATTCATTAATTAATGCTACAGATAATAATCACTTTACGTGTCAGTCTAGTCTCATAGTGACTTTTTAGATTTCAGAACCACCTCACGAGAGTTGAATTTATTTATTTCCCTCATATTGTTGAGTAAATGAAAATACTCTGTAACTGAAGTTGCATGACTTTCAATACATTTTCGATTTTTCTGCCAGGTGGAGATGACAAGCTAGTGAAGGTTTGGGACTTCATGGAGGGGGAGATAACCCATGTTGGCATAGCTCATGGTGGCAGCATCACCAGCATGAAGATCTGCTCTAACAGCAACATCCTGGTCAGCACCAGTGCAGATGGTGCTGTTCTGCGATGGAAATTCCCCCACTCCCCGTCCTGATGTAGAAACAGAAAATGTTAATCAACTAAACTCATTCACGATTTATTTTTAATCATTTGTTATGTTTTTGGAAGTTAGACCCTTTGTGTTTCCTTTGAACCTGCAGAATTTACATTTACATCAATAGTTACATCAATACTGCGGAATGAATTGACACCTAGAGAAAAATAAATCGATACTTAAGCAACAGTGGCTGTGTTGAATTTTCATTTTAAAAACTAATCTAAGCTTTATCTGTGGCCAAATGGTTAACATAAACAGGATGAATAAGAGATTAATTTTTTTAATAATTTTCAAACCTATCTAAACATGATTTTACTCAATAATAGTGCGTTACTGGCCATGGGTTGATTTAATTTAAAGACAGAATTCTTAACTGAATATAAAAGGATTGTTAAAAGTGCCAATTTATATATATATATGTATCAAATTGATTTTTATACTATATAAATTTATATAATGGCATGGATGATCACAGTATCACATTTTAGTTTTGCATTCGCCTCAGAATTTTTTTACCTGGTTTGCGGGTATAAGATTTTATTCTAACAAGGCTGGAATACAAGTGTTAGAAAAATGATTGGATGGCTAAATGGCCGCCCATCATTATCTGTTTTAATAAATCCGCACATATGGTCCAGCAAATGCAGTCTTTAGCACTGGTGAGCTGTGAAATTAAGCCTCACATGATTAGGATACTACTGAAGAAAAGATGCTCCAACCCAGCTGGAAAGCAGAACTGCACATCAAGTATCCAGCTATACAGTGCATTGGGATTTGTCCTATCAGCTTTGTAAGATGTCCTGTGAAGGAGCATTTGTGTACATCAATTGTATATGTGGGACTTGTGAGTATACTAGTGTTACCCATTTTGAGGAAGATATTTAATGTATTAGTACCACATTAGTTCAGATAGTAATGTGAAAATAAACTTCACGTTCAAATGCACTATATCACATCACATGACAAATGTTGATTATTTTTCTAAAGGAAAACTAGCACACCTCACTATTTATTACCTGGTAGATCCATCACTGTATGTTCTATACAACATCATCATGATAGTCACACATTGCTGGAGAAGAATTTAATCCCACATTTACTCATTACAGTTTTTGTGGTTCCTTGGCTTCTGCATGCATTTACTCATGCACAGCTGTCTTGATGTCGATAAAATTTAGATTTTTTTAGTGGCATGTAACTGATGACAAGAAAACTAGTGTGTTCAAAGAAAGAATGAGAGTAAATCTGCAATATGACACATAAAATGTGTTATGAATTAACATAGATGTACATGTACAATCATAGCTTTTTTTTTTATTTATTTATTTTTTTTACAGTATTTATGTAGAAAAACTGCATATTTTAACAAACAAACTCCCCAGTACTCTAATTCAATTTATTTCACCTGGCCGTTCTGATGTAAATTGTCTGCTGTTTTTTAATTCTTGACCTGCATGGCTCACTTTCAGATGTCGGACAGAAGGCCTCAGATTCAACTCTGAAATACTATAATAAACAGGGGAGTTCATGGTGAGTTTAAATAATTATGGTGCAGGTTATTGTCCAGGTCCAAGTTTGGTGGCTGCAGAGCAACCCTAAATAATCACCAATGTGCTTGATAATTGTTGATAATTGTTGTTTCGAGTGATGAGTTACGCTTGGTTATAACATTACATGGGCGATGTCCATCATCTTCAAATACATGTGCTTCGGTTATGTTTTACATTGTTTTAGAATCCCTGCGGCAAACCTTAGTTGTGCTGACACCTTTCTTTTTGCTGGAAAAGGCTTTCTCCTGCAATCCTTCCGAATAAATCATAGTTGTTCTGTTGCTTTCACAAATCACCTTTGTGAGCATTTACATTTAACACGCCTATTTGGATGTGTGGAGTACAGTACAGCATCTCTATGGTTTATTTTTCTATGTTTTATCTGAGCATTGCATAGTCTGATATTGGGTTAACTTGCTTTCGCAACCCACTTCTGGAAAGACTGAGAACTGAACTTCTAAATATTACCATCTCACTGTTGAGGATGGAGTCATAATTAGTTTAAAAGTTTGCTTTATAACAATTCCAGCTTGCCGGGTAGAGGAAAGGGCTTCTCTGAGATGAACACTGTTGTGTTTAACTTTGTTAGCACACACATGAAAGCTGCAGACAAGAAAACTAGGCATCAGAGGATCTGCTCATCTAGCCAATTGGCTGGGTGTGACTTAAACCTTAAAAAATGTTATGAAAGTAGTGAGAGAGGACACATTTGTATTTTAAATCAGCTTCCATGTTCTGCTACGAACATGGTGTGTTGTTGTTTATCTGACAGAGTATTTACATTATTTTCAAGACCTTGACTGGTATGGAAATTCCTTGACTGGGGCATGAAGTAAACATGCGAGTAAAGAAAATAGTTAATATTTTCAGTCCAATGGGTAGGCTACGTGATGTACAGGAAGTTAGAGATAGATGGTTGTCAGAAATTCATTCAACCGCGTAGTACAGTTCAAGTGACGTCGTTTTGGTCCTACATGGGGCAGTTTACAGCTGATGTCTGACACCTATTAGAGGAACTTCCTTCTTCCCGGTGTGTCAAACTAGACGCGCAAAGTTGGACGCATCACGGGCAAGAGTGAATAGCCCTTCTGTTCCCTTACTCGCCATGTCTGTTATGACTAATTTAACTAATCCAATCGAATTTTATTCAATTCCCGTCACACAAATGGACACAAGGCAGGACCCTCCAAGTATTTGATCGTAGCTCCACAGACAGCGGAGGAGGGAGGGGTATAGCTGCGATGTTGGGAGAGACAGACCGCCTGATGTAAGATCCAGAGCCGAGAGCCATCGATGAGGAAACTGAGCCTGTGGAACCTGCCCCTTTTCGCCAGTTTCCGCGGAGATCAGTGCTCATCAAAACAAGGAGACATATGACAAAGACCTGGGAAATGTCAGGGGAGTAATATCAGCATTCACGTGCGCCTTACCGTTCCTCAGACCGCATCTCGCCAGTGTTCAGGTAGGTCGAGGGGAACTAAAGGGGGAGGAGCGGTAAACGGCTTCGCAGACAGGTGCACTCCCTGGTTCCTATTTCATTTTTCATTCGCTCTCGTGAAGAGATCGAGCCATGGACAGCCGTAAGGCGAAAAAGCAACCGATGAAACCCAAAACGCGAAAGGAGCAGAAATACAAAGGTGGAACCTTTACGAGGAGGAAATCTTTGAGATCTTTCGGGAATTTCATGGGAAGGATCCTGAAAACTTTGGGGACTTTGGCGCACTTTGGCGACGCGGAACCGCCGGACGCAGAGGACAACGACGACGGCGGCTTCGGACGCAGCGCGTCCGGCGGCTTTAAGAGCGACTTTACGCACGGGTCGAAGGAAGGAGCCGTGAAGAAGAGCTCCACGGTCTCATCTTCTCACGGCTCGGTGAGGGAACGGCTGTCGTGGTGCTACGGGGACAAGACCCCCGGAGTTCAGGGACTGAAGAACCACGGGAACACCTGCTTCATGAACGCCGTCGTTCAGTGCCTGAGCAACACGGACCTGTTTGCCGAGTACCTCGGGCTGGAGCAGTACAAGTCGGATTTGTGCCAAAGGAGAGTGAACGGGAAGGTGAGAGGAGAGGAGCCGCAGGGCGCCAGAGGAGAGGTTACCGTACAGTTGGCGACGCTGATTCGTGCGCTTTGGACGCTGGAATACACGCCGCAGCTGTCTGTGGAGTTCAAGGTGAGCACTTATTCCTGCGTGGTGAACGTTTTCATTCTCACTTGTTTATCTTTGGGTTTTATTTCCATGTCTTGTCAGCTGTCAATTCATGATATTGAAATATTTCACAGTATTTTAGCCAAAACGGTAAAACGACACTTTTAATGTGCCCTTACGTGCAAAAACCAATGAAATACAGCTTTTGTTTGTTGAATAAGAGTCAAATGCATTCTTCTTGTCCTACAAGACAGTTACATATGTATTTAGGTTGAAGTGAGGATCATTTTAACCCATATTGCCTGTGAGTTGGCTTTTCTGAAGCATAGTTAATCAAAAGATCACACCACCACAAACGATTAACAGGCTACAACAAGGTGTTCAACCAGAGACTTCTGGTTTGAGGTAGTAAAGTAAAGGTGTTCCTTCCTGCACAGCAACAACCCTGAGGCTGTACAAATTTACTAATGGGTGTTAGACTATTTGAATGTTTATTTTAAATTGCAGCAACAATATGTACAGATTTCCTTAATCAAATTTTAATTCAATGGACGTGTTAGTTTGCTTTAAAAATGTGTGTAAAAGTTATCAAGAGGAGTCAAGTAAGACCATTAGCTTATTTGGAATATATTTTATCTCTAAAAAGGTGCCATCATCCTTATTTAGCTCTCTGTACAGATTGTTATTCATACACATTCTTCCCACATCCCACATGTATCCAGCCCAGTTACTTAATGGTCAAACCTGTGTGACCAGTACTGTGTCGCCATGAAAACGAAGTCCTCCGTTAACACATTTCATATTCAGAAATGTCCCTATCTGTGTTCGATGGTAGTGCTTAACCTCTGTATTTCTATCGATAAAAGCTGACCTGGGAGCAGTTTACGGGGCGAGACAAACATTAGTCATGTGAGGTAATAAAAACACCTCACTACTTTGGCTTATGGCCTTAACTTGTTGTTTGAGTTAGGTAGGTTTATGTATGCATGCCAACTGGTTACTGATTAGACTTGAAGTGCAGTATTTGAGTTTGACATAGCAGTTCTTTCAGTGACTTCCTATATCGTCTTCCATTACGTAACAGGAAACAAGTATCTCTGTGTTTTCAAACACCGGCTGTTAAAGTGTATGACATTCGGCTATTCTTTACCTGGTAGACGTAAAGTAAAATTAACAAATGTCAAACCTTTGCAGACAAAAGGCTTCATTCTTCCTGGCTGTCATGAGGCAGCTCTGTAGTAATTCTAGTTTAACTGAATGACAGTAAACCAGCAGGTTTTCTAACGCGTCATTGTTTGCTTTACCAGTGGCTGCAGGATTTTAAAGGCTACACCTCTTGGACATGGAAACAAGTTGAAGAGAAATGTTAACTTGCCATAATTGCTGAACGGATCAAAATAAAAGTTTTAATCTTAGTCTAATTCACAATTATTGACTCAGGCGGTCTGATATA